TATAAAAATATTGGTTTGGAAGCAATTTTCTATGGAAGTACACACCATGTCAATGTCCTATCCAGCTCATATCGTCATAAATTTCGACCTACCCTCAAAAGTATTCATGCGTTATTCGAGCAGCAATAAGGCAAATTGCAAGCTCGCCACAGAGCACAAATCCTATAAGAGATAGTCCTTATTTAAAACATATGCTCATTGGATATTCAAGAAGGTTGCTCCTAAATATTGTGGTTCTAGCTTCAAAAACATGGATGTTATGAATGCCGATAGGTTTCGCGAGGCTACACCGGCCGGATCGCCCACTGTGCAGTGGCTCGGCGCAGTCGGCCCAGAGCGCGGCCAGCTCGGCCAGCACCGGCAGCGACAAGTCCAGAGCGTCCGTGGCACGGCTGACCAGCGGCAGGTGGATGCAAGTCCCCGCCGAAATTTGGTTGCATCGAAATTCGCCACGACATTCAGTTCCTAGGGCCACAGCGTTTCCATGCTATATGCTCTGACTTTGTGAAGCGATATTTCCAACGCTTTTACTTTTTTTGTATATGGGCTGCACCTTACCCCATCAGCCCCGCGTTGAGGCAGAACCCACCGGCCAGGCTCCATCTGCCTCTCCCGCACTAACAGAATCACTTAATCAGCCTAACATAATCAGAATCGCCGATCAGTTCCGGCCGGTACAGCCTGTTGGTCTCTGAGCCGATGGCACCGGAGCCGCAGCGGTTAGCCAAAGCTTAGCAAGTGCTCCAGAGCCCCGTCAAACGACTGAGGAGGCACCTAGCAGCAGCACAGTGCCGTCGACCGTTCTCGAGCCGATAACCAAAACTACATTGAGTTCCACACAGTCACTATGTCCGCCGTCGATGAACAGTTGCCCCCTCCCCCTCCCCAACTCCAAGCTGGATCCGCGCTTGAACTCAGTAGTTGACAGTATTTTGTTGACAGCATTTTTGGTTTTAACTTCTGTGCTGTCTAGCCACGAATGTGCATTGTGCATAGCTTGGCATTTATATCAACCTATGACATGCTAATGATCGTGTACAAAACAGCTGGTTTTGTGTTTTGGTCACCTAGTTTCTGTCTACCCGTTTGCTACGGGCGGGCCCACGGCTTAGGTACAGCAGTCGGTACCGTCGGCACCGACTGCAAAATAGAGAAAGTTGGCTGCAATTTTTTGCTGGTGAAAGGTTGCAAGGATATTGAGTCAAACGGTTAAGAGGCCGCTGAACGTTTATTGCATTCCAGTTGGATAAAATCGATCACGAAACAATTGGCGCAAACGCCATTCAGTTTCGCTGCCGTGGGTGGGCGGAGTCGGCGGAGTATGGGCCGATGACGTCATCCTCCCGCCGGCCGTGATTCGCCCCGATTGGCCGATGTCCATACCTGGTTAGAGGGCCTTGGCTCGGCGGGTGGAGCTCGGGGCTGAGCGGTTGGCTCGCCAAGAGGAGCTCAGGGATGAGCTGGCGGACAGTTGGTCCGGCCTGATGGGCAGCCAGGGTATTAGCGTGTAATGAGCCGATGTACATAGATTAATACATTAGTTAACTGAGCCGTGGTGTTTACCCGAGAATGCGTGTTCCGAACAACTGGCGCGGTCGGTAGGACGGTTCGGACACTAGCGGACACGCATTCGTTGGGTTGCACCATTTAAAGTAAATTTTTGTTTTTATTTTATTTCGAATCGGCTCAGTAGAGTAACGTAACATGGAGAGAGAACTTTTATTTTTAGCTAACTTTGAAAATTTCACGGGGGTTAATAATCAATCATGGGGTCAGTGGTACCGGCGGTTCCGGGCGAAGACGATCGCGTTCTCTGAAGAGGATCGGCTACAGGGCCTGGTCAGCCTGCTGCAAGATGGCGCCCTGGACTATTTCGCCTTGCTGTCGGAGGAGGTCCAGAGCAACCTCCAGCAAACTGTGTCTGCACTGGAGGTCCGTTTCGGCGCAGCGAAGAAGGCGATACAGGCGCACGCTGAGCTGGCGAATATCCGGCAGCAGCCCGGTGAGGCAACGCGTGACTTCGCCGACAGGGTGCGCCAGGTTGGCCTGGAGGCATACCCAGGAGCGAGAGCCGGCGACCCGGCCGTGGAAGCGACCGTCGTCAGCCGCTTCGTGTGCGGCCTCCGTGAGGAAGAGCTGCAGACGCGGGTGCTTAGAAAAGACCCGTCCAGCCTCACCGAGGCCACGAGGATCGCGGATAAATTCCAGCAGCAGCAGGACGCACTCCGGGTCATGCGTCGGCCCATCGGGGGCGAGGTATTGGCGGTCCGGGACCGGGACGCGCCCGGTACCACTCGGCTGGACGCGCTGGAGAGGATAATTGGAGAGCTGCAGTGCGCTCTGCAAGCCCTTGAGACGGCGGGAAGGCGGGACGCCTACCGCACGGGGCACGGGACAGGGGCGAGGAACCCCCAACGAGGGCGGACAAACCCGAGCAGGCGAGGTAGCGGGCGCCGCTGTTTCTTTTGCAACAGCCCCGACCACTTGTTCCGCGAATGTCCGGCGCGGCACACACACGCAAACGAGCAGATGGGGCGGTTCGTCACACCCGGTTATCAGCAGGCGGGCCTAGAGTGGGCGGAGCGCCCCCGTGGTCCGTCTGAGGAGGCCGGCGGATGGACGCCTTTCTGTCACCAGTGCGGCCGTGGGGGCCAGCGATGGACGGGACGCCCGCCTGCCCCGGCGACTGCGGCCCTGGGCATGCCTGCCAACCCGGTGATAGGGGGCCGCACGGCGCACGCGGGCCACTGGCAGCGGGGAGCAACACCGTCGAACGTGTGCACGGTACGATCAGAGAAGGCGGGCAGTGAGGCTCCGCCAAGTTCCCAATCCCCGCTCGATGGAATCGGGCATCGCGAGCAGCCGGGGACCGCGAACTCCGGTTTGGTGAGGCGCTGCTCACAGGTTTGCGCGCGGGCAGCGGCCCTCGTGACTTGCACCGCTCGGGCCGTCTTCAAGTCAGCAGGGTTGGACAAGTGGCGACACTGGCCAGCCCCAGTGGCCCCAGGCGGGGACCCGGTCGAGCGCGACGGGTCCGGAACGAGCCAATGCGAGGGCGGGTCGCCCAGCATTGACATCGCAGGCCAACCTAACCGGCAGACCGCCCAGGCCAGCGGCGAGGTCGACTCGGCTGGCGATGTGGCGGGTGAAGAAGCACGCGCCACCAGCCGTCCAGGTGTCGACGGCGATGCAGGAGACGCTAGTCCGGTGGAGCGGAGCGGCAAGCAGAAGGCGCAAGAAGAGAGCCCACCGCACAATCACGCCAGACAGCGCCTCAGCCACCAGACGCCTTGGAACAACTCGATGCCGGAAAAGTGGGGCAGGGCCTTGGACTCTGGAGGTCAGAATGAACGAGTGGTGAGGCGGAAAAGGCCCACCCCACCTCCAAGGGCCCCGGTGCAGAAAAAGCCGGCCACACGCCCCTTCGAGCGCGTAGCCGGTAACGAGCGCGACTTCCGAGCGGCAGCTGGGGGGCAGCCAAAGTTCGGCCTGCGGCACAAGGGCCCGTGGGGCCACGGAAGAAAAGAAGAAAGAGGGGCCACCTACCGAGTGCGGAACAGCGCCGGTAAAGCCAAGATGTGGCAACACGAATGCCTGAAGGCGTATGATGGACGGACGTGCGGTTTGCCGCGAGAGGTGGCCGCCGCGTGGTGCGCGCGGCATCACCCAGATCGCGGCGCGGGACCCGAGTCGCCTCCTACCGTCAGGCGGAGGCCGGGGTCCATGAACTGCGCGAATCGCGGGCGTGGTAGTGTATCGGGCACTGCGTCGTTGCGAAGTGTTGTACATACTTGTAAAATGTGAGCTGTCGTACACCTCTCTTGTGTAGGGGGGGGGGGTGTGTGTGTTGGGGAGCGGCGGCCGTTCGTATCGGCCGCCGGCAGCGCGCGCCGGCGCTGCAACCTGCAGCTCTGCCGGCGGTGATGACGCGGCGGCTGCGGCGGCCGCTGATTGGTCGGCGCGCGCCCAGCCCCCCTATATAATGCGGCGCATCGCCGGCGGCGGGCAGTCGCTGAGCGGGTGGCTCGGCGGGTGGAGCTCGGGGCTGAGCGGTTGGCTCGCCAAGAGGAGCTCAGGGATGAGCTGGCGGACAGTTGGTCCGGCCTGATGGGCAGCCAGGGTATTAGCGTGTAATGAGCCGATGTACATAGATTAATACATTAGTTAACTGAGCCGTGGTGTTTACCCGAGAATGCGTGTTCCGAACAATAACACAAGAAATACCTACACAAGAAAACGCACACACTTACGGATACGAAAATGCACAACGCGAACGGAGAGAAGAGAGAGAGAGAGAGAGAGAGAGAGAGAGAGAGAGAGAGAGAGAGAGAGAGAGAGAGAGAGAGAGAGAGAGAGAGAGAGAGAGACAGAGACAGAGACAGAGACAGAGACAGAGACAGAGACAGAGACAGAGACAGAGACAGAGACAGAGACAGAGACAGAGACAGAGACAGAGACAGAGACAGAGACAGAGACAGAGACAGAGACAGAGAGAGAGAGAGAGAGAGAGAGAGAGAGAGAGAGAGAGAGAGAGAGAGAGAGAGAGAGAGAGAGAGACAGAGACAGAGACAGAGACAGACAGAGACAGAGACAGAGACAGAGACAGAAACATAGACAGAGACAGAGACAGAGACAGACAGACAGACAGAGACAGACAGACAGACAGAGACAGAGACAGAGACAGAGACAGAGAGACAGAGAGGAAATAAAGATGCCACAGCCATCTGAATGTGCATTCAACTTTCAAGGTCATCAATATTCAGACAAATCTGAATGTGCATTCAAGGTCATCAATATATAGGTAGAACAGATCTGCATGTGCAATCAACATCTTTGATATGCGGCACAGATCTAAATGTGCATTCAAGGTCGTCAATATTCTAAATGAATCTAAATGTGCAGTGCATGATTCATGTAGTTGCTGTTCGCCACCCACCAAAGACCTTGATGATCAACACTCGCTGTATTTGGCTGAGGTTTCTGCGGAAGCAAAAACACGTAGATGAAAGAAAGAAAGAAAAATTGTCGAACCAAGCTCACACCAAACCAAGCACCAGCCATCGCCACTGATCAATCTCTCATTCTGACCACCCAACTATCCATGTGCAAGTATCCAATACCAAGATACGAATACCAAATTGTTCCAATATTCTTTAACTGCACACAATGACACGTACGAATCCATAGAACAAGCAACATATACCAAGCTATTGGCTAGATTTATATACTACCATAGACATAAACCCGTACCATCAGAATGGGGTCTCCGACGAACATCAGGCGAACACCAACGCTCCAAACCAAGTCGCCGATCCAAGGCGGGCCACCAGCCCAGCGGGCCAAGTCGGCGAGTCACAGTTCTCTCCAAACCAAGTCGAGCCACCCAAAGGCGGGCGGCCAGTACGTGTGATACACCTGGACAGGTAAATGAACGACGTTTACGAAAGTGGCGCAGACGGAAAACATGGCGCAAACAATGAATCTACGGTAATTGACATACAAATGGATCATAGTCGCAGTTTTATCGCAGAAAGTTACACAATGACATTCATGAATAAAAAGTGACATAAGATCGTAACATAATCCAGCATATTTACGTCCAAAAATACACAAATACTTACAGAGCACGCCGCGCCAATACACCAAACCAATCCAAAATCCAAAGTGACACCGAGAGCCGGACAGAAACCTTTTCTCGAATAAACTTTTCGCGATAAATAAAAACAAATGCACCGAACATTCTACTGCAAAGACTATTCTAATCATCACATAGATATTCTAACAAAAAATACGCGACCATACCTATCTATTCTCGTCATCAATGACAAACCCTAGCAGGTGCTGACCTCTATATCTCCAACGCATCTCTGTACTCGACGTAGGTGGCGTTGGGCGCGGACAATGGTCAACTACCAACCGTCAAAACGGTAAGCGCCCTTACACTCCCCTCTTTCAGCTCTCTGCTGAAACCTAGCACGGGCGCTCACCACCTCAACATCAGTGTGAATGTCCGCGGTCACTCGTGATCAAGGAGACGGAGAGCACAAAAGGAAAGACCACAGCCTCTCCCCGAAGGAAATATGACCACAAGGCAGCGATCTACACCTGACTTAAACACTAACCCCTCTAACCATTCCTGATAAACTTACCAGTCTAAATCAGAGTCCGAGTGGACTAGCACCATCTTGTGGATGGGCCTCAGATACGTTGAAGTGCTGGTTCTTACCAAAGCCTTTCTCACTAACCTATCAGCGCTGGGAAAGACTCGCACTATCCTTCCCAGGGGCCAGCTTCCCCTCGGAAGGTCCTTATCTAAAACCAAAACAATATCTCCTATCTGAAGATTCCTACCTGCCTGCCGCCACTTCTGACGGGTTTGCAGCGTGGGCACGTACTCAGCGAGCCACCTGCGCCAAAACTGGCTCGCCAAGTACTGTACATGCCTCCACTTACGCCGGGAGAACGAGTCGTTCTCCGAGAACTCACCCGGTTCGCCGCTAGCGTTTCCACGTAGCAGCAGCAAATGATTTGGGCTTATCGGCTCCACATTTCCGTCACTCGTCGATACGTAGTTCAGGGGCCTACTATTAATGACGGCCTCAATCTCACAAAAAAGAGTCTGAAGAGTCTCATCGTCCAGTCTCTGCTGAGGCATGCTACGCATAATCTTTCTAAACGTTCTAATCTGACGCTCTGTAGCTCCACTGAAATGTGATGCAGTCGGGGGGTTGAACTCCCAGTGAATACCGTGCTTCACAGATTCACCGTGCAGCCTGTCATAGTCCACCTCCCTCAGAGCTTCCCGAAGCTCTCTATCTGCACCAACCAAATTGGTCCCACGGTCACTGATAACGTATCGAATTGCTCCCCTCCGTGCCGAAATCCGGCGGACAGCGTTAATGAGGGAATCGGCGGTCAACGAACACAGCACCTCCACATGCACCGCCCGGGTAACCAGGCAAGTGCACATCAGCCCGAAGCGCTTTCTCTCACCCCTCCCAGACTTCACCAAAAACGGACCAAACACATCCAACCCTACCTTCTCGAACGCGCCTGTGCCAGCCGTCACCCGACTCTCGGGAAGACTAGCCATAAGCTGTTCCTGTGGACGAGCGTTTACCTTTCGGCAAACCACACATGACCTGATCATCTTTCGGACATCTGAGCTCGCTCCTACGATCCAGTATCTCTCTCGGAGTTTCCACAGCGTGTGGTCTCTCCCTTGGTGACCTGCTGCCACGTGAGCGTCTCTCAAGAGCAGCCGAGCCACGTGATGCCGTCTGGGCAAAATGACCGGGTGTTTCGAGCGCTCTGAAAGAGAGGGCGAGGAACTCAAGCGACCTCCGACAACCAGGAGGCCGTCACTCATCTGAGGTGCGAGAGAACTCAATGAACTGCCCTTCTTCACAACTAACGGACCATCAGCGACCAGCCCTCCCGGATACTCTGGCATAGCACACTGTGCGTACCGTAACACCGCCATCTCCGCCTTCTGAAGGTCTGACAGCTCCAGAACCACGCGAAAGTCGGGTTTCCTCACCCGCAGACCCTTACGTCGCGCTACACAAAACCTCCGATACGCACCCGATCTGATGACTTCACCCAACCGGTGCAGCCATGCCACTGCCCTCTTCAGCCTGTAGAAAGAGGAGTAGTGCCTCACCAAGGCATCGGAAGGACCGCCCTCCACATCAGCTAGGGCAGCCTGACAGACACGAATAGATCGTTTTACCTCCACCTCTGGAACTTCTACACTAACCACCGGCTCCTCAGGCCAGCTATCCTTACCCTTCGAAAGGAACTCTGGTCCCCTCAGCCAAGGCTCCAGCGCGCCGGGACGCGAGCCCCTCGATCCGACGTCGGCCGGATTCAACTTGGTCGGAACATAACCCCAATCCGACACCTCCGACGCAGAGTGAATCAGCGACAGCCTATTTGCTACGAATGTTTTGAACCTAGTAGTCCTATTCCTAATGCAACTCAAAACGATCAGGCTGTCAGTCCACAGGCTGACACTGTCGAACTCCATCCTCAGCTCACGAAGCAACAGCAATCTGACCTTCACAGCCAACGCCGCAGCGGTCAGCTCCAGACGAGGAACGGACTGAACGCATCGGATCGGGTTCAGCCGGGACTTACCAAAAAGAAAATTGACAAAAACTTCTGTGTCACCTTCTCCTGTGTCTACCTCCCTCCTCACGTAGCCCACAGCCGCGTGGGCGGTCTCGCTGGCGTCTGCAAAGAGATGCAGTTCTGTGCTCAAAACTACACCCTGTGGACCCGAGATATCTCTCTCCAAGTGAACGGAGCTCAACTGGTTGGCCTGGGCTAGCCACCTTTCCCACTCATCAGCGAGCTCACCTGGTATCGGGTCGTCCCAGTCGCATGGCACCGCACACAACTTCTGCAGCAGCGCCTTGCCCACCAAGGTCACCGGAGCGATAATCCCCAGTGGGTCGAAAATCGAACTCACTGTCGACAATAAGCCCCGGCGAGTCACTAGTTTTCCTCCCCCCTTGAATTCAAAACAAAACGTGTCACTCTCGACATCCCACTTCAAACCCAAGGTACGTTCGGACTTCATCCTATCCTTCTCCAAGTCCAAGTCTTTCACATTCTTACCTCTGTCCTTTTCCGGTATCTCTTTCAGAAACGCAGCACTGTTGCTTGCGAACTTACGCATGTTGAAAGCACCACTCCTACATAGCGCAGACAGATCATGAGCCAGTTTCACAGCACTACCAACTGAGGTCGTGGCCACCGCAACGTCATCGACATAGCTGTTCTGTACCAGTACCCTTGATGCGTCGGGAAACCGTTCAGCTCCATCTGCCGCGCACTGTTGGAGGGCGAGAGAGGCGACACTGCTGCTGGACACAGCACCGAACACGTGCGACCTCATTTTCCACACCTCGACCCCTCCGTCCAGACTGTCGTCCCGGAACCATAAAAATCTCAACAGGTCAGAATCATGCTCGGGCACGCGCACTCTGTGATACATTGCCTCAATGTCACAAGTAAAGGCAATCGGTCCCTCACGGAAGCGACTGATCACCCCCACCAGAGTGTTTGTCAAGTTGGGGCCTCCTTTGAGCAGGTCGTTCAGACAGATACCACCCGATCGAGCCGCACAGTCAAACACGACTCGCAACTTACCCTTACCGGGCTCCTGTACTCCATGGTGCGGGAGGTACCACACCGGCCTGCCCTCGAGCTCCTCTTCCGGCACCTTGACGGCATAACCGTCCTCAGAAAGCGACTTAATCACAGCCTTGTACCTGTCAAAGTACTCTGGATCCTTCCTAAATCGGCGGCGAAGACTTTCCAAACGCCGCTTAGCAGATGGAAGGCTGTCAGGTATCTCACTCACCTCCACCTTTGGTAGAGCCACCTCATAGTGGTTCTCGTCATCCTTACGGATAGTTGAGCTGACCTCTTTCAGCCACTGACCATCACTAACCGAGAACTGCTCAGACTCCTCTGAAACATCACCGAACTCTGATTCGTACATGCTGTTGAACATGTCAACCAAGTCCTCTCGCGAACCCGACCTGGGCTCACAGACACGAAGGAAGTTCACCCAAAATCGAGAATCACCGCCTGCCCCGGGACGACGCGGACCGATCACGTACCATCCCAGGCATGTCCTCACTCCGACAGGTCCCACTCCCGCCGGTGGTAACCGAACCTCTCTAGCTGCGAGGAGAGGGGCGGCGTTAGATCCGATCATCACCTCCACCGGCGCCTCCAGCTCACACATCGGCAAATCAGCCAAATGCTCTCACTGGTTCCGGTCAGCGCCCTCACATCGGTCCTGAAGCGAAACAGGAATCGAGTCCAAGGTGAAAAGGGGCGGCAAGGCGAAACACTCATCAGAGACAATCGGACTGACCTCGGCTCCACGCATCACCGCAGATCTGGCCTCCTGACCTACCCCAGTCACCGTGTCAATCCTGATAGACACCTCCTCCTTGTCAAGTCCCAACTGCCCAGCCAATCGTGACGTGATGAAACTTCCTGAGCTTCTCTGGTCCAGAAAGGCATTAGTGAGCACCTCTCTCCCTCCCTTACCTCTCAAACTGACTGGTAGTACCGGCATCATTGTCGCACTGGCGCCGCTGACGGGCTGCACGCCGACACCCGCGCTGACAACCTTTGGCCTCACTTCAGCCCCAGGTGCAGGCGAGTCGGCAGCTCCCACTGCCCTGGCAGCCGTCCCCTGGTCGGCCGTCCTGTGCAGCAAAGACGCATGTCTGGACCCACAAACCTGACAAGTAAGTCGGGACTTGCAGAAGCGGGCTTGATGACCAGGCTGGAGGCATCCAAAACAGAGTCGCCTCTCCTGTATGAAGGTCTTTCTCTCGCTATAAGGTCGGAAACGGAGTTTGTCACACAGATCAAGATGATGGCTACCCTTGCAGAATGAACAACTAGGCCTAGCCCCGCTGAACGTGACCGCGTTGACCTTCTGACTTCCATGCCCATCACTCGACCTGGAACTGGAGACTCCAAAAACTGGATTCTTTAGAACCCTCAACTCTCTCTCCAAGAAATCGACCAAGTGTCCGAAACCAACAAAACCAAAATTCGAACCGTCTCTTCCTTGCTCCATCAGCCTATCAGCCTCACGGAGCCAGCGATCTCTGAGACACGTGGGCAGCTTCTGAACCACCTCGCGCAGAGTCCGTGGATGTTCCAGCTCGCCCATGCTGATGGTCGTCATCGCGTTCTCCACCTCAACAAGGAACAAAACCAGCTGATCGAGGCCCTGCACGTCACCTGAAGCAACCTTGGGCCAAGATCGCAGCTTATTGACGTAAGAGTCTATGAGAACGTGTGGGTTCCCATACTCTCGCTCTAGAGCCGACCTGGCTCTCTGATAACCACTCTCGCCAAGATGTAGACAGTTCCTGACCAGCCTGTTTGGACGCCCGCGCGTGAACTGCTCCAGATACGCGAGCAGCTCGTTCTGATCGGTGGTGCGGTTAGCCACACACATGTCAAAGGTCCTGAGAAACAAACAATACTCCTGGACATTACCAGAAAACGGAGACAGCTCGGCACGCGGCAACAGGGACCGCTGAATGTGCTGAGCAAGAGCGTCTGCCGCGCCAGCCCGCTCAGGCGCACGCTCAGAGACGTTGATCGCAGCAGAGCGCAAATCAGCGTCAGCAACTGGACTACCAATCTCTGCCAACCTCTCCTCCAACACCAACTGCTGTCTCCTAGCATCGATTCTAGCCTGCTCCTGCTCCATCCTAGCCCTATTGCTTATCTCCTGTTCAGTTAGAGCCTCCTTCTCCTTCAAAATCCTCAACTGAAGCAGCAGCGACTGGGGGTCACCACTACCAGCGGCCATCGGACCGGGAGCCGCGGCCGATGGGGGCTTTGCCTCACCATCAGCTCCTCTCGAACCGTTCCCAGCTCCCGACGCCTTTATAAGTCTCTCTACTAACTCTGATTTCTTACCGGAGGGATCCAAACCACGATCCTCTAGCATCTGCTGTAACTCGGAGGCCTTCTTACCGCTTAGTTCTTCCCGAGATGCCATACTTAACCCTAAACTTAACCTAATATGATACGCCCCCAGGCAAAAAGGGAGAAAGGTTGTGCTCTCCGACCCCGACTGATCCCTTACCAATATCCAGCAATCTAAGAATCACACACAATACATACAATACATCGACCAATCACCAATACGCAAACACACAAACACAAGGAATACAAGTCAACCAGCAATATCAACCCTTTACTGGCTTTCCCCACCAACCCAACCTTACTTGCTCAAGTCAGCTCTGGGGACAGGCCACCAAAGGACGGTCCGGCAGCCGACAGCCAGGCTTCAAACGGTCCAGTGGCAGAGGGCCAGACGGTCCGGCGGCAGAGGGCCAGACGGTCCGGCGACAGAGGGCCAGTCTGGCCGGCAGAGGGCCAGACGGTCCGGCGGCAGAGGGCCAGACGGTCCGGCGACAGAGGGCCAGACGGTCCGGCCACAGAGGGCCAGACGGTCAGGCGGTCCGGCCACAGAGGGCCAGGCGGTCAGACGGTCCGGCGACAGAGGGCCAGACGGCCAGCCGGTCCGGCGCCGGAGGGCCAAGCGGTCAGACAGTAGTCACTCCAGCATCAGATGAGACTTCTGATGAAACTGTAGTTGCTGTTCGCCACCCACCAAAGACCTTGATGATCAACACTCGCTGTATTTGGCTGAGGTTTCTGCGGAAGCAAAAACACGTAGATGAAAGAAAGAAAGAAAAATTGTCGAACCAAGCTCACACCAAACCAAGCACCAGCCATCGCCACTGATCAATCTCTCATTCTGACCACCCAACTATCCATGTGCAAGTATCCAATACCAAGATACGAATACCAAATTGTTCCAATATTCTTTAACTGCACACAATGACACGTACGAATCCATAGAACAAGCAACATATACCAAGCTATTGGCTAGATTTATATACTACCATAGACATAAACCCGTACCATCAGAATGGGGTCTCCGACGAACATCAGGCGAACACCAACGCTCCAAACCAAGTCGCCGATCCAAGGCGGGCCACCAGCCCAGCGGGCCAAGTCGGCGAGTCACAGTTCTCTCCAAACCAAGTCGAGCCACCCAAAGGCGGGCGGCCAGTACGTGTGATACACCTGGACAGGTAAATGAACGACGTTTACGAAAGTGGCGCAGACGGAAAACATGGCGCAAACAATGAATCTACGGTAATTGACATACAAATGGATCATAGTCGCAGTTTTATCGCAGAAAGTTACACAATGACATTCATGAATAAAAAGTGACATAAGATCGTAACATAATCCAGCATATTTACGTCCAAAAATACACAAATACTTACAGAGCACGCCGCGCCAATACACCAAACCAATCCAAAATCCAAAGTGACACCGAGAGCCGGACAGAAACCTTTTCTCGAATAAACTTTTCGCGATAAATAAAAACAAATGCACCGAACATTCTACTGCAAAGACTATTCTAATCATCACATAGATATTCTAACAAAAAATACGCGACCATACCTATCTATTCTCGTCATCAATGACAAACCCTAGCAGGTGCTGACCTCTATATCTCCAACGCATCTCTGTACTCGACGTAGGTGGCGTTGGGCGCGGACAATGGTCAACTACCAACCGTCAAAACGGTAAGCGCCCTTACAATTCACTTGCAAAAATCTGAACGTTGTTGACGATGATAGAGTCATAGGGACGAATCTGAATATCATGATTCATGATCAATATTTGGAATGAAACTTAATGTGAATCTGAATGTGAATATCATGTATCTAAACGCGCAAACATGAAATGGCACAACCCAGGGAAGAGGGGATATGCCGTTATGTTCAATGCCAGCAGTCAGCAGCAATTGAATTGAAAATAAAGAAATTTCGCTAGGAAGAGAAAGAATACCACTAAATAATCACTCACCTATGGCTTCTTAGAAATACTGGAATTTAATAACAAAGTCTTCAAAACTACCCAGCCGCAACCACACCGATTAGGCCGCGGAGAAAACTGCCGCCCACACTCCGTGGCATTTGTTTGTTTGTTTGGCATTGAAATCAGCTGATTCTCTGTTATTTGATTCTCCAGAAAGCATTATATTTAATACCCGTGAAAAATTGCAGATAAATTACATGCTTGCCTTGCTTTCCAATGCCTTAAAAAATGTTCTCTGATGTCAAATAAACAGTGACAACATTATCTTTAGTATCAAAACGTATTTAAAGTCTTGAAAATTACCGTAAATAGCTTTCCTTGGCACAAAAAGAGAAGTCAGCTGTAGACAGTGTTTGTCGTTTCAAACAAAAACAAAACAATTTTCAGCAATTTTTCTCGAAATGCATCGCTTAGCAAGAATTTACATTTAAAATTCGATAAACAGTGACTAAGCATATTTTTTGACTGAACTCGGCCTCCATTTTAACATTTCAGAAAAATTATATTTAATAGGTAAATTTTTAGGAAAAGTATCAGCTGAAAGTGTGATGAATGCGACGCAAGACGCAATTTATTGTCGACGGGATTGGACATGGTAGTCAATGGTAGTGTTGTTTACTGTTGTGTGGTGTTTGCCTTGCTTAGGTCGTTGATAAAATGGATCTTTATGGCGTAATTGCTCTTCCTATTGGTTGAAAAATACTCCTAGGATGAAAAGGTAACAAATGTTGGTACACATAAGTTAATTTTTCACGATATTCGGGAGCGATGACCGTTCGATGAAAGTGGCTCCCATTGCGACGTTCGTGGTGCATGCACGTTTTATGGCTATTAAATGGTCTGATTGTTGTACCTATTTAGTACTGTGTTATTGTAGTAAAAATTTGAAAACACCACTACATTTAAAGTTATTATTTAAGATTGCTTCATCTCAGCTATTGATGTGCATTCACCTATCATCACTGTTTTGACTCGGGATGCCAGCCTCCAACGTGGAAATAACAATGGATATTGGATACCCTTGCAGGATGCTTTGTTACTGCGCGGGCGCCTGCCCAGATGGCGCAGTCAACAACACCTGTGTGACACTTCCAAACTCCTGGTGTTTCGCCGCCGTGAGGGAGACCATTGATGAACGCACTGGCGGTAGGGTCCCAGAGAGGACCTACGGGTGCTTGCCGCCTGGCGAGACCGGCTATATGCAGGTGAGGGCATAACTGTAAAGGAGAGGGGTATTTTAGAGAATCTGTGTTGTTCAGGTCAGATTAGGCAAAAACATGCAGGGAAGGTAGAGGGAAGAGGAAGGGAGTGAGGCAGAGGGTGCAGAATCTGCAAGTTGTTAGTGTCTAATGAGGTGGAAGATATGTTATATGGGCAATGGAAAGAGGGATGGGAATTGGGAGGAGGGAAGAGAGTAGAGAGAGAGGGAGGGCTATGTTGATCATGGGCTATGTTGGTATTAACTATGTATGAGGGCTATGCTGTGTGTGAGGGCTATGTTGATTCATGTCAATCATATTATTGATCCCAGCCTCTAATCAGTATCAATATTGTCTTTTAAACTGGATCAGCGCCTATCAGCCCTGCTGTTGATACACCTAGACTAAAAAAAAAAACACAGTGTCAATTATTTTGTATTCAGCCTGAACTGTTTGAATCAGTGGATAACGAGACTCGAGAGCCAGAAATGTATGCTGAGCGTGCTCTGCAGGCCAAGACACTGTGACCATAGTTGTTTATTGTGAGGATTTGGATGCTATGTGTGAGGTGCCCCTCAAAGCCAGACACGGACTGACCCACTCAGCTTCTTTTAGCTGGCTGCAGCTGCTCCCACCAATTGTAGGCCACCCCGTCGGGAATATCATATCAAACTCTGGGGCGACCCGAACCCGGGCTCCACTATCAGTAGTCCAATGGTCTACCAACTTAGCTACTGTGACAGCATCCTAATTAGTGGTGCCAGTTTCAGAAAAGGCTTCTTTAAGGTCCCAAATCTTGGCTCCTTTATGTCCTAAATCTGACCTTGTCTGAAAACTGGCCCAACTCTGGATAAGGAAAATAGTGGGGTGCTAGTTTTAGGAAATATTTATTGATTGTTTTAGATGCTCATTTAGGGGCTGAAATTGTTTGCTATCTTCATAGCTGGATTGTCTTATTAACAAAGCAACTTAGAACACGTTACTTGATAAAAATGTGCTAATGTGTTAAGCGATTTTCCGATGTTGTAGCAAGCCATCTGGCCTGTCAAACTGAATTCCGAATGGGACAAAATTGAACAAAATTGGGATTCCGAAGATCAGCGTTCCGTTCGGCACCTGTAATCCCAACCCCCACCGTCTGTGTTTTCAGTGTAAGAGCGCCAACAGCCCGTTCGCCGTGCCCACCACCATAGAATGCTGTCGGGATAGGGACCACTGTAACCGAGACCTGAAGCCCATGTACGTGATACGAACGGACGACGAGGACCTCACCAGCGAATATGTCGGGTAAGTATGGCAGGGTACTGGATGTGTAACTACTGGAACTACTGATATATTGCATTTAACTGGATAAGAGTCAGAGTATGGTGGGATGAGTGTCAGGGTATGGTCACGGTGGCTTTATGTCCCAAAGACTATGGCTCAGTGAGTCTATCTCAGTGATTCTGACTCAGTAACTATTTGTATCAATGCTCAGTGGCAATGTCTTAGTGACTGTATTCCTCAGTGACTCTTTGTCTCAGTGACTGCCTCACTGACTCTGCATTAGTGACTGGATCAGTGACTCTGTATCTATGTTCTCTCATTGACTGTCTGACACATGATTTTTTTTTGTCTTAGTGACTATGTCTCGATGATAACCTGTCTCGATGACTGTCTAAGTAACAATCTCATTGACTCTGTCTTATTGACAGTGTGTGTGAGTGTACTCTGAGTCGGTGACTATGACTCTCCCCACAGATATAATGCCGCCGTACACCATTAGGCTCTGTTCGTCTCCTTCACCCTCTGTCTCAGTGACTCTGTACTACTCTGAGTCAGTGACTCTATATGACTCTCCCACAGATATAATGCCGCTGTACATCAGATGGCTCTGCTTGTCTCCGTCACCCTATGTCTCAGTGACCCTGTACTGAGTCGGTGACTCTATGACTCTCCCCACAGATATAATGCCGCCGTCCACCAGATGGCTCTGCTTGTCTCCGTCACGCTATGTCTGGCCGTGTTTATCGGTATCGTGGCCTGGATGTATCTGAGGTAAGAACCGGACTCTCACTGGGTAAGAATCGGACACTCACTGTGTGGGATGTGGGGTAGTTGTGTTGGCGTTTGGCAAGTGTAGCTCAATATGGGGCATAAGGATGCTTCTAGTACCTACTTTGAGGTTTTTTCGCTTAGCTAGTTGACTTTTTTACGGATCATGATCCCGATGTAGATACGAATTAAAATATCAACAAACAGGCCAGCAACTATACTTCTGGCGGCACATCTCACTTTTTATATAAGTGAAGGAGTGCTTTACATCCTGTTTTTATTTACTGGGAAATGAGTGATCTTCACTAGGCATTAGTTCTGTTAGAACCTCGGGCAAGTTTCTAAGTAAAAATATTTCTAGTGAAAAATATGTTTACATTTTCACATCTCATACATGTTGACCATTCGAATGCCTCCTTCACATCGAACTCCTTTTGACACCCTCTCTGACTATATCATCTATGACTGTGATACGCATGTGCACCGTCACTCCCCTTCAAATACCGTAATCGTCTCGAACAACGCGACTCTGCCATCCCCTCTCCCTATAACGAGTCCCCGACACCCTCTGTGACTGTAACCGACACTGTTCTGTGTGACACACGTCGGACGCTCGCAGGTACCGTAAGCGTCTCGAACAGCGCGACTCTGCCATCCCCTCTCCCTGTAACCAGTCTCTAATGTCACCTTGTGTGACACCTGTGTGACACACGTCGGACGCTCGCAGGTACCGTAAGCGTCTGGAGCAGCGTGACTCAGCCATCCCGTCTCCCTATAACGAGTCTCCGACACCCTCTGTTTGACGTTCGTCGGACCAAGACCGTATATAGGAGGTAGAACGTTTATCCGTTTGTTTACATCGGTGACCTTGACAGATGACGTCAGCGGGTGTCTACCAATCTTCGCCAATATTAATCTTCCGAGGATTGTATACTCTAAGACAGTTTGATATCGACCTTTAGGCTCCCTTAGAGCCTAAAAAAGATAATTTACTGCACAGCAAAGTCTTAAAAATCGACAAAACCTTGACACCCTGTGACGTCATCTGTCTACTGAGCCCTCCCTATGTGGCAGCATAGAACCGTAACCCCCTGCGTCGGACGCTCGCAGGTACCGTAAGCGACTCGAGCAGCGTGACTCTGCCGTCCCCTCTCCCGACTACGAGTCGCTGATGCCTCCTGGTCTGGGTATGACTGCCGGTCTGGCCGAGACCAGTAGCGGGAGCGGATCCGGTAAACCATTCCTGGTAAGTATTATCTACAATGATAGAACTATATGTAAAGTCGACTACATAATTATGTTCCACTTTTCACAGGCAATTATTTGCCTGGAGTGGTAGGCTGTGCCGCATCACACGGGCTGAGTTCACAAATTATAGCTTTGTCCCAATGCTCACAATCGACACGCTTGATTGCGTAATAAACGGCACAACTTAGCGCTCCGGTCAACTGATAGCTTCTGAGGAGTGGAACATCATTCTGTAGTCGCTATACAGTAATGGTAAGTATTATGTACAATAATTGTGTACTCTACACTCTACAGAGACCAGCAGCGGCAGCGGATCCGGTAAACCATTCCTGGTGAGTATTATGTACAATAATTGTGTACTCTACAGAGACCAGCAGTGGCAGTGGCTCCGGTAAACCCTTCCTGGTAAGTATTATGTACAATAATTGTGTACTATATAACAGAGACCAGCAGTGGCAGAGGATCCGGTAAACCCTTCCTGGTGAGTATTATGTACAATAATTGTGTACTATATAACAGATACCAGCAGTGGCAGTGGATCCGGTAAACCATTCCTGGTGAGTTATATAATCGTAAAGCATATCCTGGTGACTTGTATATAGTTTGCGGCCATTCCTGGTCAGTTATTACGAATGTACTGCGATAATTAAATGTACCTATCTAACCCCCCACCCACACGTCCTCAGCTCGCATCTCCTCGTTTCTCACTGTAGCTCGCACATGTCCCATTCCTCCTCCCCACACATCTCCTGCTCTCTCCCACAGCTCACAAATCCCCTTGCTCTTCCCCTACAGACGCAGCGCAATAACCTCACCATTCTCCACAGCATCACACAAACATCTCCCCTTCTCCCTTCCCTCAGACGCAGCGCGCCATCGCTCGGGAGGCTACACATCTCTCCTCTCTCCTCAGTATTCACACATCTCCCTATTTGTCCCTGTAGCTGACAATGCTCCATTCTCCCTACGACAGCCATTATGTTGTCTCCTTATCGTCTCTCTAACTCACAATTCTCCCACAGTTTCGCCCCTCAGGCGCAGCGCATCATGTTCCACAACTAGCTCACTCATCCCCCGTTTTTCTCCTCCTTACAGCTTCCACGTCTCTCTTTTCTCTCTACACCTCACAAATCTCCCCGTTTCTCCCACCCCACCCCTCTCAGGCGCAGTGCACCAATCTCCCCTTTTCTCCCAGAATCTCACAAATATCCCCCCCCCCCCGGTTGTCGTTCTGTCGACCTCTTTGGGCGTTATATAGCCTCGTTGCTGGTGCGCCCTAAAGGCTGAAACACTTTCCGCATTCAGGAAATCGCATGCGAGAGCCTATTCAAATACATTACACTTCTTCCCGCATCAATCGCATCCGGGAGGTGCGTGCGATTGATGCGAGCGTGCTTTCATGTATTTGAATAGGCTCTCGCATGCGATTTCCTGACTGCGGAAAGAGTCTGTTTCAGCCATAAAACACCAAATCATCATCACCGCTTCTCTCCTTCAGGCTCAGCGCACTATCGCCCGTGAGATAGCCGTCGGTGAGATAGTGGGCCAGGGGAGATACGGTCTGGTGAAGCGGGGAGCCTTCCAGGGCCAGCCAGTGGCCGTTAAAGTGTTCTTCTCACTCGAAGAGGCCTCCTGGCAACGGGAGAAGGATGTCTATGAGACGTGCCGGCTGCAACATCCTAATGTGCTCGGTAAGATGCGTTATTGCGCGGATGTGTGTGTGGGGGGGGGGGGAGGGGGGCTTGGCGATTTTAATGGTAGGTTTGGTATCTGTGGATGCATAGACCTCGGCATATACCTGCGTATCATAGTTATACGGATTGCAGAGATCGGAATAAAATTAAACCAGTATAGTTGTCTGAGTGTTGGTTCCCGTGAGTCTAAGGTCATTATTCGTGAGGATGGTTATCGTCTTGAGCTTGTCCAATGTCCATCATTAATATGTGGGGAGGCAACGGGATCTTTAGAGACGCCGGAGAGTGAGACATTGATATGGTGGTACCTTCGTAAAAACAATCAGATAGAAAGAAGAGTGGGAGCTTTTACCGCTCGTATGCTCTTTTCGGAAGTGCTCCGGGAATTGACGGACATTTGTTGTGTGTACTGTAAACTGCTTTCAATGTGTTCACCTCCCTATCCCCACAGGTTTTATCGCCGCCGATATATTCACCTCTGGGGGCGGTATGCGCGGCTGTATCGCTGTCTCCTGTATGTAACTGTACTGTACTGACTGTACCGCTGTCTCCTACACTGACTGTACTGACTTTCTGTGTACTGACTGTGGGTCCATCTCCCCAGGTTTTATCGCCGCCGACATCACCTCCGGCGGCGGTATGCGCGGCTGTAGCTGTCTCCTGTAATTACTGTACTGTACTGACTTTGCGCGTGTCTCTCTGTACCACTGTCTGTCTGTCCACTGTCTCTGTACCTCTGTACTGACTTCTGACTGTACCGCTGTCTACCTGTACTCAGTACTGACTGAATCTCCCCAAGTTTTATCGCAGCGGACATCTGCACCTCTAGGGGCGGAATGCGCGGCTGTAGCTGTCTCCTGTAACTATACCTACTATACGTGTCTATGTTCCCAGGTTTTATCGCCGCCGACATCACCTCTGGGGGCGGTATGCGCGGCTGTACGGAGATGTGGCTGATCACCGAGTACCACTCCCACGGTTCACTGTACGACTACCTCGGCTCGCACGTACTGCAGCCGTTGGATGCGCTCAGAATGAGCCTCTCAATCGTTCAGGGTAAGAATGGGCTCGTAATGGCGCTACTGGGGGATGTCGCCTGTCCATGGCTCATGATAAAGGCTGAAACAGACGCATTCTGCATTCAGGAAATCGCTTGCGAGAGCCTATTTAAATACCTTATAATTATTTCCGCATCAATCGCATCCGGGAGGTGCGTGCGACCGATGCGAGCGTGCTTCCATGCATTTTGAACAGGCTCTCGCATGCGATTTCTTGAATGCGGAAAGAGTCTGTTTCAGGCCTAAGACTGGGTGCATACTGTACCCTGCTGCCTCTCCATCATGGCTCAGGGGAAGACTGGGCGCATACTATACCCCGCTACCTCTTTATGGCTCAGTGTAAGAACGGGCGATTAATGACCACGCCGGAGATGAGCAATGAACATGTCCCATAACCGATCCCGCGGGGAGGAGTCTGTTATAATGGCCCTGTTAGGGATGAGTCTATCTCTATCACACAATAACCCCAATGGGGTCAGTCTCCATCGTTCAGGGTAATGGGCGCGCCGCGTAATGATCCCTCTGGGGGTGAGCCTGTCTATCGATCAGGGTAAGCATGGGCGCATAGTTGCCTCGCTAGGGTTGAGGATCTCCGTTGCTGAGGGTAAAGCAGCTTTCTCGAGCTGTCTGTGCTAAGAGACTATGTTACCTACAGTTACCAGTAAGCCCTAGATTTGCACTGAGCACGCTATCGGTCAGGGTAAGACATAAGGAATGTGTTAGGTACTGAGGTACGATTTCGGGCGCCCTTCCTCAAAGGAAAGCAGCTTATCAGAGTGATCAGCATGCTCTATGGCGCAAGGACAAGGATGGACGCACATTTGCCCTACTGGGAATGAACCTCTCCATCGCTTAGGGCAAGGACGGGCGCGTTTTTACCCCGTGCTGGGGATGAATGCCACAAAATGACTCCGTAGCGGTGACGATCCTCACACATAACCCCGATGGGGATGTGTCTCAACTTGTCTCACACAATGGACCAAGGTAGTCGATTTAACGAAATCTGAATCGATTTGACGAAATTTCACGTGCGTTTTTTCGGATACTATTCACTTCATGCAAAAAATGAACGTATATATGGCTTTAGCTAGCACTTAACCCTATATTAACAATCTTAAATGATGCCGTAATGCTATGATGGAACAAATCCACTTGCAAAGTCGGCTTAACTTGTGCCATGGAAGCTGCTACTGTGACCTCCGTTCCAGGTCTGGATTACCTTCACAAGGAGGTGATTGCCGCGGCCATCCGTCCTGCGCTAGCCCACCGAGACATCAAATCCAAGAACGTCCTGGTGAAGTCGGACGGAGAGTGCTGCATCGCTGACTTCGGCCTGGCCGTCATGTACTTCAACTGCGGGTAGGTGGTGATGGAGACTCAGCTAAATAACCTGACTCAGTCTCTTCACACAGGGGTACATAATGGGGAAGGATTTGGGAAGCCGTGTCACTGGCTATGAAGTTAAAGGACCTATCTCCTTTATTATTTCCAAATCATCCTGCCGAGTGTCTTCAACTACGGGTAGGTGATGATGGAAAATCAGCTAAATAACCTGACTCAGTCTCTGCACACGTGGTGGGTGATGACGAAGGATTTGGGGAGCCGTGTCTCCGGCTGGTGAGGTTAAAGACCCTTCCCCCTTGATTATTTCCAAATCATCCTGCCCAGTGTCTTCAACTGCGGGTAGGTGATGATGGAGACTCAGCTAAATAACCTGACTCAGTCTCTTCAGACAGGGGTACATAATGGGGAAGGATTTGGGAAGCCGTGTCACTGGCTATGAAGTTAAAGGACCTATCTCCTTTATTATTTCCAAATCATCCTGCCGAGTGTCTTCAACTACGGGTAGGTGATGATGGAAAATCAGCTAAATAACCTGACTCAGTCTCTGCACACGTGGTGGGTGATGACGAAGGATTTGGGGAGCCGTGTCTCCGGCTGGTGAGGTTAAAGACCCTTCCCCCTTGATTATTTCCAAATCATCCTGCCCAGTGTCTTCAACTGCGGGTAGGTGATGGCGGACGATCGTCCAAATAACCTGACTCAGTCTCTTCACACGTGGGTGGGTGATGGCGAAGGATTTGAGATAGTGTGGAATCGTGTCTCTAATTACTGGTGAGGTGGAAGGGCCTTTCTCCGGCGAGATTAGGCTACTAAACATATCCTGCCTATAATTCTCTTCATCCGTGGGTAGTTGCTGGGGAAGGATGGCTGCCCCCCCGCCCCGTGATTTTGCTCCATTTGATCCTCTGTCACTCATTTAAACCGCGTTTACTGGATGAACGTAGGTTTTCATGCTGCTCGGCCGTTTTCCGTAATCTTCGAGAGCGATAAAACGCTTTTCTGTGGCTATCTTTCCGTTCTTTTCCCCCTTAGTCTACAATGCTACAAGTACCTTTGCTGTACGCACTATGAATGTCGCTATACTCTCTGGCTTTCCGCTCGTCATCAAAGCACTCCTTTTCTGGCCAGTGGCCGGCTTTCTGTTCTGTTTCTCATGAGTCCCTTCGCTCTTTTTTTAAAGAAATTTTGTCCGAATGGATGAATGGGTGTCTATGGGCCCAGGTGCCCCGCTAAGCAGCGCTTGTTGCGAATGACACCACGGACCCACCACCCCGCCTTGCCCGCGCCCGGTTCACCGGTGATAATTTGGATCGAAAGTTTAACCGCTCTTGCAGCTGTCCCTCTCTGCTTGTTGTCACCCGTATCTACCTCCCTTTCTCTTATCTCATTTGCCTAGCTTTCTCGCTCGCCCTCGTTTCCTCCCTTTCTTTCTTTCTCCCTCTTTCGTTTTTTTTTCTCACTCTTTTGTTATCTCCCTTGCCGAGTTCTTTGACTCTGTCTCACTTTATTGGTTTTCGTACGTCTGGTTATCATTTTGCTTTTTGTTTGACTTTTTACTGTCTTTTCACTCCCTCCCTCTTGTCCCTCCTTTTTATTGGCTTCCATTGGTCCACTCCCTTACTCCTTGTCTCTCTATGTATCTATCTCTATGATATCCCCCCTCTCGCCCTCCTATCTCACGTCTCTCCCCGCTCTTTCCAGTGAGAAGCGCGACCTGGACGTAGCCTCGACTCGCCAGGGCACCCGCCGCTACATGGCTCCGGAGGCGCTGGACCAGACCCTCAACGTGAACAGCTTCGAGGCGTTCAAACAGGCGGACATGTACTCCCTGGCCCTGGTCATGTGGGAGATAACCAGACGGTGAGAGGGGAGGGAGAGAGGTGTTCAAACAGGCGGACATGTACTCCCTGGCCCTGGTCATGTGGGAGATAACCAGACGGTGAGAGGGGGAGAGGCGTTCAAACAGGCGGACATGTACTCCCTGGCCCTGGTCATGTGGGAGATAACCAGACGGTGAGAGGGGAGGGGAGAGAGGTGTTCAAACAGGCGGACATGTACTCCCTGGCCCTGGTCATGTGGGAGATAACCAGACGGTGAGAGGGGAGGGGGAGAGAGGTGTTCAAACAGGCGGACATGTACTCCCTGGCCCTGGTCATGTGGGAGATAACCAGACGGTGAGAGGGAGAGAGGTGTTCAAACAGGCGGACATGTACTCCCTGGCCCTGGTCATGTGGGAGATAACCAGACGGTGAGAGGGGAGGGGAGGGGAGAGGTGTTCAAACAGGCGGACATGTACTCCCTGGCCCTGGTCATGTGGGAGATAACCAGACGGTGAGAGGGGAGGGGAGGTGTTCAAACAGGCGGACATGTACTCCCTGGCCCTGGTCATGTGGGAGATAACCAGACGGTGAGAGGGGAGGGGAGAGGCGTTCAAACAGGCGGACATGTACTCCCTGGTCATGTGGGAGATAACCAGACGGTGAGAGGGGAGGGGGGAGGCGTTCAAACAGGCGGACATGTACTCCCTGGCCCTGGTCATGTGGGAAATAACCAGACGGTGAGAGGGGAGAGAGGTGTTCAAACAGGCGGACATGTACTCCCTGGCCCTGGTCATGTGGGAGATAACCAGACGGTGAGAGGGGAGGAGAGAGGCGTTCAAACAGGCGGACATGTACTCCCTGGCCCTGGTCATGTGGGAGATAACCAGACGGTGAGGGGGGAGGGGAGAGGTGTTCAAACAGGCGGACATGTACTCCCTGGCCCTGGTCATGTGGGAGATAACCAGACGGTGAGAGGGAGAGAGGTGTTCAAACAGGCGGACATGTACTCCCTGGCCCTGGTCATGTGGGAGATAACCAGACGGTGAGAGGGGAGGGAGAGGTGTTCAAACAGGCGGACATGTACTCCCTGGCCCTGGTCATGTGGGAGATAACCAGACGGTGAGAGGGGGAGAGGTGTTCAAACAGGCGGACATGTACTCCCTGGCCCTGGTCATGTGGGAGATAACCAGACGGTGAGAGGGGAGGGGAGAGGTGTTCAAACAGGCGGACATGTACTCCCTGGCCCTGGTCATGTGGGAGATAACCAGACGGTGAGAGGGGAGGGGGAGAGAGGTGTTCAAACAGGCGGACATGTACTCCCTGGCCCTGGTCATGTGGGAGATAACCAGACGGTGAGAGGGAGAGAGGTGTTCAAACAGGCGGACATGTACTCCCTGGCCCTGGTCATGTGGGAGATAACCAGACGGTGAGGGGGGAGGGGAGAGGTGTTCAAACAGGCGGACATGTACTCCCTGGCCCTGGTCATGTGGGAGATAACCAGACGGTGAGAGGGGAGAGAGGTGTTCAAACAGGCGGACATGTACTCCCTGGCCCTGGTCATGTGGGAGATAACCAGACGGTGAGAGGGGAGGGAGAGGTGTTCAAACAGGCGGACATGTACTCCCTGGCCCTGGTCATGTGGGAGATAACCAGACGGTGAGAGGGGAGGGGAGAGAGGTGTTCAAACAGGCGGACATGTACTCCCTGGCCCTGGTCATGTGGGAGATAACCAGACGGTGAGAGGGGAGAGAGGTGTTCAACAGGCGGACATGTACTCCCTGGCCCTGGTCATGTGGGAGATAACCAGACGGTGAGAGGGGAGGGGGAGAGAGGTGTTCAAACAGGCGGACATGTACTCCCTGGCCCTGGTCATGTGGGAGATAACCAGACGGTGAGAGGGAGAGAGGTGTTCAAACAGGCGGACATGTACTCCCTGGCCCTGGTCATGTGGGAGATAACCAGACGGTGAGAGGGGAGGGAGAGGTGTTCAAACAGGCGGACATGTACTCCCTGGCCCTGGTCATGTGGGAGATAACCAGACGGTGAGAGGGGAGGGGGGAGGCGTTCAAACAGGCGGACATGTACTCCCTGGCCCTGGTCATGTGGGAGATAACCAGACGGTGAGAGGGGAGGGGAGAGGTGTTCAAACAGGCGGACATGTACTCCCTGGCCCTGGTCATGTGGGAGATAACCAGACGGTGAGAGGGGAGGGGGGAGGCGTTCAAACAGGCGGACATGTACTCCCTGGCCCTGGTCATGTGGGAGATAACCAGACGGTGAGAGGGGGAGAGAGGCGTTCAAACAGGCGGACATGTACTCCCTGGCCCTGGTCATGTGGGAGATAACCAGACGGTGAGAGGGGAGGAGAGAGAGGTGTTCAAACAGGCGGACATGTACTCCCTGGCCCTGGTCATTTGGGAGATAACCAGACGGTGAGAGGGGAGGGGGAGAGGCGTTCAAACAGGCGGACATGTACTCCCTGGCTCTGGTCATGTGGGAGATAACCAGACGGTGAGAGGGGGAGGGGGAGAGGTGTTCAAACAGGCGGACATGTACTCCCTGGCCCTGGTCATGTGGGAGATAACCAGACGGTGAGAGGGGAGGGGAGAGAGGTGTTCAAACAGGCGGACATGTACTCCCTGGCTCTGGTCATGTGGGAGATAACCAGACGGTGAGAGGGGGGAGAGGTGTTCAAACAGGCGGACATGTACTCCCTGGCCCTGGTCATGTGGGAGATAACCAGACGGTGAGAGGGGAGGGGAGAGAGGTGTTCAAACAGGCGGACATGTACTCCTTGGCCCTGGTCATGTGGGAGATAACCAGACGGTGAGAGGGGAGAGAGGTGTTCAAACAGGCGGACATGTACTCCCTGGCCCTGGTCATGTGGGAGATAACCAGACGGTGAGAGGGGAGGGAGAGGTGTTCAAACAGGCGGACATGTACTCCCTGGCCCTGGTCATGTGGGAGATAACCAGACGGTGAGAGGGGAGAGAGAGAGGTGTTCAAACAGGCGGACATGTACTCCCTGGCCCTGGTCATGTGGGAGATAACCAGACGGTGAGAGGGGGAGGGGAGGTGTTCAAACAGGCGGACATGTACTCCCTGGCCCTGGTCATGTGGGAGATAACCAGACGGTGAGAGGGGAGAGAGAGAGAGGTGTTCAAACAGGCGGACATGTACTCCCTGGCCCTGGTCATGTGGGAGATAACCAGACGGTGAGAGGGGGAGGGGAGGTGTTCAAACAGGCGGACATGTACTCCCTGGCTCTGGTCATGTGGGAGATAACCAGACGGTGAGCGGGGAGGGGAGAGGTGTTCAAACAGGCGGACATGTACTCCCTGGCCCTGGTCATGTGGGAGATAACCAGACGGTGAGAGGGGAGGGGGAGGCGTTCAAACAGGCGGACATGTACTCCCTGGCTCTGGTCATGTGGGAGATAACCAGACGGTGAGAGGGGAGGGGGATGGAGAGGTGTTCAAACAGGCGGACATGTACTCCCTGGCTCTGGTCATGTGGGAGATAACCAGACGGTGAGAGGGGAGGGGAGGTGTTCAAACAGGCGGACATGTACTCCCTGGCCCTGGTCATGTGGGAGATAACCAGACGGTGAGAGGGGAGGGGAGAGGTGTTCAAACAGGCGGACATGTACTCCCTGGCCCTGGTCATGTGGGAGATAACCAGACGGTGAGAGGGGAGGGAGGTGTTCAAACAGGCGGACATGTACTCCCTGGCTCTGGTCATGTGGGAGATAACCAGACGGTGAGAGGGGAGGGAGGGAGAGGTGTTCAAACAGGCGGACATGTACTCCCTGGCCCTGGTCATGTGGGAGATAACCAGACGGTGAGAGGGGAGGGGGGAGGCGTTCAAACAGGCGGACATGTACTCCCTGGCCCTGGTCATGTGGGAGATAACCAGACGGTGAGAGGGGAGGGGTGAGAGAGGTGTTCAAACAGGCGGACATGTACTCCTTGGCCCTGGTCATGTGGGAGATAACCAGACGGTGAGAGGGGAGGGGAGGTGTTCAAACAGGCGGACATGTACTCCCTGGCTCTGGTCATGTGGGAGATAACCAGACGGTGAGAGGGGGAGAGGCGTTCAAACAGGCGGACATGTACTCCCTGGCCCTGGTCATGTGGGAGATAACCAGACGGTGAGAGGGGAGGGGGAGAGGCGTTCAAACAGGCGGACATGTACTCCCTGGCTCTGGTCATGTGGGAGATAACCAGACGGTGAGAGGGGAGGGAGGGGAGAGGCGTTCAAACAGGCGGACATGTACTCCCTGGCTCTGGTCATGTGGGAGATAACCAGACGGTGAGAGGGGGAGAGGTGTTCAAACAGGCGGACATGTACTCCCTGGCACTGGTCATGTGGGAGATAACCAGACGGTGAGAGGGGAGGGGAGAGGTGTTCAAACAGGCGGACATGTACTCCCTGGCTCTGGTCATGTGGGAGATAACCAGACGGTGAGAGGGGAGAGAGGTGTTCAAACAGGCGGACATGTACTCCCTGGCCCTGGTCATGTGGGAGATAACAAGACGGTGAGAGGGGGAGAGGTGTTCAAACAGGCGGACATGTACTCCCTGGCCCTGGTCATGTGGGAGATAACCAGACGGTGAGAGGGGAGGGGAGAGGTGTTCAAACAGGCGGACATGTACTCCCTGGCCCTGGTCATGTGGGAGATAACAAGACGGTGAGAGGGGGGAGAGGTGTTCAAACAGGCGGACATGTACTCCCTGGCCCTGGTCATGTGGGAGATAACCAGACGGTGAGAGGGGAGGGGAGAGGTGTTCAAACAGGCGGACATGTACTCCCTGGCCCTGGTCATGTGGGAGATAACCAGACGGTGAGAGGGGAGGGGAGAGGTGTTCAAACAGGCGGACATGTACTCCCTGGCCCTGGTCATGTGAGAGATAACCAGACGGTGAGAGGGGGGGGAGAGGTGTTCAAACAGGCGGACATGTACTCCCTGGCCCTGGTCATGTGGGAGATAACCAGACGGTGAGAGGGGAGGGGAGAGGTGTTCAAACAGGCGGACATGTACTCCCTGGCCCTGGTCATGTGGGAGATAACCAGACGGTGAGAGGGGGGGGAGAGGTGTTCAAACAGGCGGACATGTACTCCCTGGCCCTGGTCATGTGGGAGATAACCAGACGGTGAGAGGGGAGGGGAGAGGTGTTCAAACAGGCGGACATGTACTCCCTGGCCCTGGTCATGTGGGAGATAACCAGACGGTGAGAGGGGAGGGGAGGGGTGTTCAAACAGGCGGACATGTACTCCCTGGCACTGGTCATGTGGGAGATAACCAGACGGTGAGAGGGGAGAGAGGAGAGGTGTTCAAACAGGCGGACATGTACTCCCTGGCACTGGTCATGTGGGAGATAACCAGACGGTGAGAGGGGAGGGGAGAGGTGTTCAAACAGGCGGACATGTACTCCCTGGCCCTGGTCATGTGAGAGATAACCAGACGGTGAGAGGGGGGGGAGAGGTGTTCAAACAGGCGGACATGTACTCCCTGGCCCTGGTCATGTGGGAGATAACCAGACGGTGAGAGGGGAGGGGAGAGGTGTTCAAACAGGCGGACATGTACTCCCTGGCCCTGGTCATGTGGGAGATAACCAGACGGTGAGAGGGGAGAGGTGTTCAAACAGGCGGACATGTACTCCCTGGCTCTGGTCATGTGGGAGATAACCAGACGGTGAGAGGGGAGGGGAGAGGCGTTCAAACAGGCGGACATGTACTCCCTGGCCCTGGTCATGTGGGAGATAACCAGACGGTGAGAGGGGAGGGGAGAGGTGTTCAAACAGGCGGACATGTACTCCCTAGCCCTGGTCATGTGGGAGATAACCAGACGGTGAGAGGGGAGGGAGGGGAGAGGTGTTCAAACAGGCGGACATGTACTCCCTGGCCCTGGTCATGTGGGAGATAACCAGACGGTGAGAGGGGGGAGAGAGGCGTTCAAACAGGCGGACATGTACTCCCTGGCCCTGGTCATGTGGGAGATAACCAGACGGTGAGAGGGGAGGGGAGAGGTGTTCAAACAGGCGGACATGTACTCCCTGGCCCTGGTCATGTGGGAGATAACCAGACGGTGAGAGGGGAGGGGGGAGAGAGGTGTTCAGACAGGCGGACATGTACTCCCTGGCTCTGGTCATGTGGGAGATAACCAGACGGTGAGAGGGGAGGGGGGGAGAGAGGTGTTCAGACAGGCGGACATGTACTCCCTGGCCCTGGTCATGTGGGAGATAACCAGACGGTGAGAGGGGAGAGAGGCGTTCAAACAGGCGGACATGTACTCCCTGGCCCTGGTCATGTTGGAGATAACCAGACGGTGAGAGGGGAGGGGAGAGGTGTTCAAACAGGCGGACATGTACTCCCTGGCCCTGGTCATGTGGGAGATAACCAGACGGTGAGAGGGGAGGAGAGGGAGGGAGGGAGGGAGGGAGGGAGGGAGGGAGGGAGGGAGGGAGGGAGGGAGAAAGAATGAGGGAGAGAGAGAGGGAGGAAGGAGAGAGAGAGAGGGAGAGAGAGAGAGAGGGAGGAGAGAGAGAGAGAGAGAGGGGGAGGAGAGAGGAGAGAGAGAGGAGGAGAGAGAGAGAGAGAGAGAGAGAGAGAGAGGAGAGAGAGGAGAGAGGAGAGAGAGAGAGGAGGAGAGAGAGAGAGAGAGAGAGAGAGAGAGAGAGAGAGAGAGAGAGAGAGAGAGAGAGAGAGAGAGAGAGACGATCTGATTTCTGCTCTGAGCAGCCCCTAGGAGTGCGGCTACCAGGGACAAAGTATTATTCCTTCTTAGCTGGTGCGTAACTATTCCTTTTCTTTTGAGAGTTAAACTATTCCCCTTTTCAGGTGTAGAGTAAAAATCACACCTTTTACCCCTGACCCCCCTTCCCCCATCTTTCTCCAGGAGTGCCACGGGAGACAAGATGCGCGATTACGAACCGTATGCGGTGCCCTACGCCGGGATGGTGCCAGCCGACCCGAGCTTTGACGATATGCATCAGCTGGTCTGTGAGAAGCAAGTGCGGCCTCCCATTGCGGAGAGATGGAGCAAGTCGCAGGTGAGAGAGGGGGGGGAGGGAGAAAGGGAGGGCAGTCAAGGTTAGCAGACTATCGTTCTTTCCGAGTTGCAAGTTTTTTTCTTGATCCTTCGTGTTATTTATCTAGACGTGTAGTACGAGGCGACACAAGTTATCATTGCAAGATTTAAAAAAACAAACAGTGGATTTCTTTTATTATTCAACTCAAACCTTCGATGATGTCTGCTTTTGCTCAGGACATATTCCTGTCCTGTGGTGTCACCAAAATCACGTAACAAAACTGAAAGCCGTCGATTTGACACCCACTCCCTCTGCAGGCGCTGACGAAATTGGCGCGAATCATGCGCGACTGTTGGCGCCAGAAACCAGGCGCCCGTCTGCGCGCTCTCACCGTCAAAAAGCACCTGATCACCGCGCTGAAGAACGAGCTACACGCCGTCACCACAGCCGGAGTCCACCTGTAGCGTGGGTTCGAATCCAGGCGACGACAAAAAACATCGCGAGTGTGTGGGTTCGAATCCCGACGGCGACAAAAGTTTTATCGCACTCGAGCGGCGGAAGAGAGTGTGACAAGTGCGAAAGGAGGCATGAGTAGTGAATCCGTGAGATGAAAGTGGTCATAAGTTTTGACGAATGGCTCGACGGTCGGCGAATCCACTCGTGCGTTCAAGCGCACATGTGCGCGTATGAGCGTACTTGCTTACTTCGGCGAGCGTGTGTTTGCGTGTTAGTGGCCATATTGAAGGGCATGTCACTCCTACTGAGTGGACATTTGTGAGAAAATCAAATCTGGACGCTGGTTCTCACTCATTGCGCCAGAGATAATGCTTCCAGTCTCCCAGAAGACTAATGGCGTCATTGTTCGTGGCGTCAGAGTTCATCACATAGGACGTCCAAATGGGCCGGTCGTGACGTCATACTTCGCCTCAGCTGTCCGAGAGGTGGATGTCACGGAAAAGTCGGCGCCTCGTGGGATTTGAACCTGCTTCCGAGGAGAGTATCGCCTTTGCATCGTGCGCCATTCAGTGCTGAGGAGACTGATGCGATGGATATATTTGCGCCGTTTTGCTGTATATTGCCAATGTAGACAGAGCATGTGCAGCAGCTGCGGCCCGAGTTTAGCGCAGCAAATCCTGTTTGTACATCGTTTAGTATTGATAGCTTTGTCTTTCTTCGGAACTCGATTGTTTGCCGACTTGTCTGTTCAGTGAAGAAACTGTTCGCGAGACGCGTAAGCGGCAGTAGTGGCTACACCTAATTTTGCTGATGCTCGTTCCTGATTGGTTAGCAATCGCTAATCGAACGAGCCACGAATAGAGCTGCTTGATTCAGAGTTTTAGCTTTAGCGACAGCGTGTACCTTCATTTACATTTACGTGCTACCTTAGACACCGTAGGGCGTTTTATACCGGCCTTATGCCACTGCATACACTTAGTTCCCGGTCTGTAGTTGTCAGACTCCGCCCTGCAGCATGTGTGTACGGTTAACATTGATCTGTGACGCCACATCCAGCGGCCATGGCCGCCGTACGGTAAATAACCCTCTCGCCGATGCCGCTACCTGCGTTGTTGCGCTACGGTTAATGTTGCATTCGTACCCCGTCGTGCGACGTTGTTCTATACGACGAAACCAGTGCCAATCCGCGATCCGAGTCGCCTATGTGTGCGTGTGCGCGTTAGTATGCGTGTGAGTTGCGTGAGTCTGACAAGTGCCATCCCCCCAATCGCGATCGGACTCGGCTCTTGTGCACGTGTCGTCCCGTCGTGTACGTACAAATTTTGTACTCGGATTTTGTACCCGCAGACCGCCGAAGTAATAATTGATAGACCTATCTGGGCGGTCGCCGCGCGCGCGCGAGGCGTTTTAAAGACGAGACGTGTCCCAAGATGGCGAGGAGAATACGGAATAATATATTGCGCCGCCGCGAGTCGATGTTTTGGGTGTATCGGGGAGGGGTTTCCGGGATACACAGTAATTCGGTGTGATGCAGCCACACTGTAGACTGCGTTAACTATGTACTCTAACCCCGCGTTCGATGTCTCCCGGACGACGAAGATTCTACGCCGTCCGGCCAATCACGTTCCATGACCACAGTCGAGCCCCCGCTGACCTTGAATGGGATTGGCCGGATGGCGTAGAATCTTCGCCGTCCGGGTGACATCGAACGCGGGGTAAATTTCCACTCCTTGGGGCTGATGAGGATTATTTTTGTGCGTCAGGGTCCAAGGAAAGCTTCCAATAAGTATATTACCCTAGTTCCAGCTGCGTCGTTATCAAAGCAGGCAGAGGTCCTGCCTCATATGGACATTTATTGAAATATTTGGGTTAAATCGGACTGATGCAACGTAGTGGTAAACCTTTTTATTTCTATTGATGCATCGTATCAAAAAGACAATCATGCCCCTAGGCGTAAGAGACATTCGAATTGAACTAAGGAAGTTATCATTAATCGACAAGAAACTGCCCATCTAAAGTAGATCAAAGCCCCGAATTTGACTTTTACATAAACCAAGAAAACTCGTCAGGAACGCGCGAACACGATGTAGCGAATTCCAGCATAGACATAAAAAGCAAGCACCAATAACATTTACAATAAATACACACGTTTATTTGTACTTTTAGCGAGATGTGCAATATCTACCGAGAATACTACATGACATGCAGAAGCCCGCAGAAATCGAACGGTATAAGAGACTTATTACAGTACCAACGTACTATGGCCTCGTGCCAATTTGACATGTAGAAAATGCAACATCCCATTGCAATGGGATGCTGTGAGGCAATTCATTGCCTCGCAAAGCCGAGCACACCATAACGTGTACACAGTGCAAAAGGTTGAAACAGCAGCCGATGATTTACAAAAGATGGCCGCTAATCGAAGACCGTTCGAAATACCGAGAATCAAACACTGCTTGGCATAATGACACATTGAAGCATTGACAATATAACGATACGACATAACATCAATGTTGATGACATTAAATAACTGAACAGGATTGCCACAATGACGGCATTACTTTCCATCAGCAGTCTTTGGTGCGATGAGTCAATGTAAAAAATATACAAGAAATTCAAACAAAATGTCATGTCTTCTAGAATCGACAAAACCCACTCATCAAAACGAGTGACGTAGCACGAAAGCAGCGTCCAAAACAATCAAAAATATTCACAGTGAACATATAAAAATAGACGGCCTTCGCAAAACGAAGACCGAATCTTTGCCACCCACATTACACAATACACATTCCCTAACATTAAATACTTCCTATCATCACTTTTCAAGCACAGTTCACAGCGTTCACAGTCTCCCCTCATCCCACAGTATTCACTGCGCTGCCCTTTTTCTTTCCTTTCGCTGCGTTCTCCCCGTGTGCAGTTCGGTTGTGTACCTTCAGAGCGCTAGTGGTGAGGAAGCCCCGATTACAAGGCTCACAGCGATGTGGCCGTTTGTCCGAGTGAACCCACTCGTGTTTTCGGAGGTTGCTGCTGTCGCGGAATTGTTTCCCGCAGACCTGTAAAAAAGAAGGGAGTTAGTTAAACCTTATAGTCATGAATTTTGATGTAATATGCAGTAAATACAGCAGACATCGTCAGAAAGGCTGTCGTCAATCTTCAATATTTAATCACGTAGATGTTCACAATGATAGCGATCGCAGCCATTGTACACTTCGCCCATTTACTCCTAGGCTTTTACGTAATTCCCGCTTATCACACAAACGTACGACACGGCTTTCCGACCCGTTCCCACCAACCCCACACATTTAGGGCTTTTCGTTCGCACTTACCCTGCAAATGTAGGGTTTTTCGTTTCCATCTACCCCGCACATGTAGGGTTTTATATTATCATCCCGCAAATGTAGGGTTTTATGTTTAGGTCACTTACCCCGTATATGTATGGTTTTTCGTTTCCATCCACCCCGCATATGACGTAGGATTTTATATTCTTACTCACCTCACACATGTAGGGTTTTCTATTCTCACTTACCCCACACGACTAGGGTTTTTCGTTCCCACTTACCCCGCATATGTAGGGTTTTATGTTCTCACCCCGCATATGTAGGGTTTCATATTCTCACTTACCCCTCACAGTAGGGTTTGTATTCTCACTTACCCCACATATGTAGGGTTTCATATTCTCACTTACCCCGCACATGTAGGGGTTTAAATCCTCACTTACACCACATATGTAGGGTTTGTGTTCTCACTTACCCCGCACATGTAGGGTTTTTCGTCGGTATGCGTGCGCATGTGTCCCTTGAACACGTTACCCGACACGAAGCTTTTTCCGCATATACTGCAGATGAAGGGCTTTTCGTTCTTGTGTCCTAAGAACAGGGCACGCATTACATGTCACTGACAGTATTTATAGAGGTAATGGAGGCACAACAGCGCGCGCACAAAGCGCGGGGGTGTAAAAAGCTCATAAAAAGCGAGCGTTGAAACCCCAAGTTAGTAGCCTTTGAAGTAAAATATATCGAGTGTAGAGAAAACAAACCACAGTTTAACTCGCTCGCTCGCTTGCTGCCCTAGCTCGCTCGTTATTAGCAGCTCAGATAGCAGCGCATAGCTCACTATCTGAGATTTCCGCCGGCCCATCATTATCTCACAGTTTGACTATCTCACATTTACAATCCACCTGGTACCAGTATCTCAAATTTCCCTTGGTGTCATAGCTGTCTCATATTTCCATCCGTAACACAAAACTCACATTTCCCCAGTAAGTAACTGTCTCACATACTATCTCACATTTCCCCACCCCGTAACATCTCACATTTTCCGTCACTACTTACGCCTTAGGTGGTCGGTAAGATGTGAGGTCCATCGGAAAGTTTGTCCGCAGATCTCACAGCTCAGAGGCCTCTCACCCGTGTGAGTCTGTAACAACAGAGGTACATAGGCGTGCTACTGGTGTGATGCTATGATATGCTAGGGTATGAACTGATAATCTGCTAAATATGGGCAACAGTCGTAGCTGGGTTGAATAACGTTGGTGTCTTACTACAGGGTGCACTACGATGTAAATAAGCTGCATGCAATGATATTATACTGAGACAAATAGGAGGTATAGAAAGTAAAAACCAACGCAGGAAGGCGTTAAATACGGTGTTGACTAGGCTTGACTTTACTAACCTGACCCGTACCTTATCTGTCCTACCGATCGGCGAGTAATCTATCGTAAGAAACTAAGGCATAAATGTTGTTGGAAAATATCACGCGCTTTGTGCAGAATATCAAACTGAATATTAAGTATCAGTAAAGAACGTGTTGTGCAAGCTGCAATGCATATATGATGCATATATCGACACTGCATGGAATAAAATATAAATACACATCGACACAAAGCTTTAAAGAAAACCTAAAACGCTTATCATTTACAAAAAAAAAAACCTACAGGCAAACCTAAAAATCTCACCAAATCTACTATTATAAATCTTAAAAAGTCCCACGCCGCCGTCGGGGTTACTCCCTAAAAGGCTTATTACGGCGCCGTCGATTCATGCGGGAGGGTGAAATTTTTACCAGTCGTGGGTCACGTAAAAAAAAACAGGTCGTATCAAAATTTGGGCACGATGCGGCCGAGGGTGCGCCCGTGGCGCGTGCTCATGTGCGCCATAGGGTTAGCATTAGAATCGGCAAAAACAGGCTATTGCTCGGAAACGGTAAGGGCTACGGGGGTGAAATTTTCATGCCAAGTCGAGCGCGTGCACTCATTTGTCGTATTAAATTTTCGACGGTGTGGGTTCAGCGGTGTGCTACCCTACGTAGGGTAGGGTAGGGTAGGGTAAGGTTAAGTTAAAAAAGGGCCTAACCAACAAAACACTTGAACACCCCGCACCTATCACCAACCCTTACAGTTTAATTAAAAACGGCTACCCAAATCTATCCAAATAATACATCTAAAAATACAAATCAATCCCCCAAACCAATGCACCCGTAACATAACATAAATCAAAACATACAGTTATCGCGTAAACCTGTTACCTCTAGTACACATAAAAGACACACTAATCGGCCCATTTTTTCACCTGCATATGTTTGACGAGGTGCCCCCTCCAGGCGAAGGCCTTCCCGCATATTTCGCAGTGAAACTCGTCGTCGTAGATATACCGAAACTTGGTCCGGCCCGGGCGGCGGGGGTCGTCGACCTCGACCTTACACCGTGCCTTGGTGGCCTGCGGGCGGACGGAGGGGTCGTGAGGTCAGCGTTGTAAGGTTACGAGGGGTCCCGAGGTCAAGGAGGTAGAGATAATGAGGTCAGGGCTATGAGGTCGAGAGACCAGTCGAGGTCAGGATCATAAGGTCAAGGTTGAAGGTTGAGGGAATCACAAGGTCAGGGCTATAATGTCGAGGGTCAAAAGGTCGAGGGTCAAAAGGTCAGGGTTTAAGGTTGAGGGTCAAAAGGTCAAGGTTTAAGGTTGAGGGTCAAAAGGTCAAGGTTGAAGGTTGATTGGTCAGTCGGGGTCAGGGCTAGAGGTTGACAGGTCATCAACTCACCAGGTCAGGGCTATAAGGTCGAGGGGTACGAGGTCAAGGGTCATGGGGTCAAGGTTTCAAGGCCGAGAGGTATCGAGGTCAAGGCAGGCGGTGTCGGGTGGTCCAAAGGGTAAAGCCACATGGGCTAGTCTGATAAACAATGTGCCTGATGTTAGGGGTTTGTGAATAGAAAATCAACAACTGACACAACGAATGGAATAACTGAAACATTGTAGCTTGACATTTCCAGCTGTACACACATAAGCAGGCGAATCACTACTGGATTTTCATTGAGCTACGTTTTGAAATCCAGTTGTAATACGAATATATTTTGTTTAAATATCTGCAATAATTGACCTTCTCACTGACCGTTGCCAGTCCTACCATCACCTATCACCACCCTCTATATGCTATACCCTTAGACAGACTCCAAAACTGTCAGTTCCATCCCCATCCACCACTTTCTGACAGTCCCCCGAAGAGCCAACAAGCGCAATAGTAGCCCCGGCACCTGTAGTTACAGCACCCCATCCATGACACACAGCCCACCCATCGTCCTGTCGGTTGTCCCTACCAGGGTGCAAAATCAGAGTCAGAGTCCGTCGGAGTCGACAATGACAGTTCTGCCCGGAATCGGAGTCAACGCTGCATGGCTCAACGTCATGCACTGCGCCTGTTTGATTGATACTTCGCTCAAAATTATATTTTGTCGAAAAAGGCCATTTCCTGTGTTAAACGAACATTTTCAGCGAACGAAGCAGAAGACGGTGAATTTCCCAGAACCTGTTTTTTAATTCTGCATGTTATTTTTAATGCATATTTGCAACGCAAAGCTTTGGGACGCACAAGGGATCGTTTCAGGCAAGATAAAAACATCTCCCCTATGAACTTCATTATCATAAAATAGATTTTGATAGAACCGGCCAGAGTCGGAGTCGGATTTGGATTCGGAGTTGGAGTCGATTTTTGAAGCCGGAGTCTGAGTCGGAGTCACCCTAAAATCCGTCGACTCCGCTGCCCTGGTCGCTACTCACCCCCCTCTGTTTCCGACTCTGTTTCCGTTTGCTCACTCCGGCCGCCGCTCCTTTGGCCTTGCGCGGCTTGGTGGGAGGCTCCTCGGTGTAGTCGGGGTCATCGGGGTCAGAGAGGTCGGGTGGCGGCGGTGACCCCGGAACACTGTCAGAGAAAGAGGTCAACGAGGTCAGACAGGTCAGAGAGGTCAGACAGGGGTCAGAGAGGTCAAATATGAGATCAGAAAGGATATATAGGGGATCAGAGGTCAGACAGGGATCAGAGGTCAAACAGGGGTCAGATCAGGGTGCGGGTTATGCTGGCAGTGACCCAGAGGTATTGTGAGAGACGTCAGACAGGGTTCACCAGGGTCAGAAAGGTCAGAGAGGTGAGCCGGGGGACAGAAAGGTCAGTTGATGGTGGCGGTGACCCCGAGGCACAGGGGTCAGACTGAGATGAGGGGTCAATTGAAGGTCAGACTGGAGAGGTCATAGAGAGGTCAGTGGAGCCAGGGGTCAGTCGATCTAGCACACTGAGGTCAAATGGTTTTTGAAAAAGGTCAGACAGGGTCATCAGTGGACTCAGCACACTGGTCGGCTTACTCAAGCCCTGATAAAAAGGACAGAGGAGAACGCGAGACAGAGAAAAGGGGTTGAGAAAGAGAGCGGGGCAACAGCTCATTCGGGATTCAACTCAGTTATAATTTATAAACCAAGGATAGCTATATCTCAAAACAAACTTTAACGTGAACATTGCAGTTTAGTATCAAACATCGTACAGTTTAAATTTAGAATAGAGAAATTTCATCCCCCACTTTCTCACTTCACCCAGTCTCACCACAATTTATCTCACCTTTCCACGGCCTCCTCCATCCACTCTTCACCGTCCGCTCCGTCCACCTTCCGAGCCCCAGCGTCTCCCGCCCCCTCCCCTGTCTGTCCACCACCCCCTCCCCCACTATCCCCGAGTACATCCCCACCCGCCTCCACCCCCGCGCACAGTCCCGGTTTGGCGCCCATCTCTGACGCCGACTCGGCCGGAAGGTCTGTCTCCGGTTGCCAGCCGTTGTAGGTGATGTTGTGGGCACGGACGGTACGGGTAAACCGACGTCGGACCCGGCGGGACAGGTCGCGGCAGCGGGTCTCCATCTCCTGTGGGAGAGGGGGAGGGGGGAGATATTGATGCAGCTATCGCCTGTGGGAGAGGGGGGAGATACTGAGGTAGCTATATCCTGTGGGGGTAGATACTGAGGTAGGTATTTCCTCGGCCGGCAGCTACATTAGTATCTGATGTAGACACTAATGTAGCTATCTCCTGTGGAGAGGGAGGTAGGTGGGGTAGATACTGAGGTAGCTATCTCCTGTGGAGAGGGGGATACTGATATAGCTATCTTCTGTAGAGAGGGGGTAGATACTAGATACTGAGGTAGGTAGCTATCTCCTGTGGGGGGGGGGGGGTAGATACTGAGGTAGCTATCTCCTGTGGGCGGGGGGAGGTAGATATTGATGTAGCTATCTCCTGTGGAGGGGGGTAGATACTGAGGTAGGTAGCTATCTCCTGTGGGGGGGGGGATTAGTAGGTAGATCATGAGCTATGCACGGCGTCAGACGAGGGGACACACCGCTGCAAACGAGGGGGAGGTACATAAGGCACTTGAAGGGACGAATGCATGATAATTTTCCGTAGTTAGGCATTTTAGGGGCATTTCAGTAGCGAGAACTCCAAGTTATCAAAGCCATCACTTATTAGGCATTACAAGGCATGCACCGTCTTGGCATGACAACTGATGGAAACCATGTCCAATAAGGTACAGTACACCAGCTATTTTGAAATAGTGTGCCGCCAAAACATAACCTCGCATAGTCGCTCATATTTAAGCTGCAGCAGATTCAATTAGAACAAACACCTAAAAAACTATCATATCGTAATACAGCTGCATGAAATAACCATAAATCACTTTTCAACGCACTGCATCTCAGGTACCTTAAGGCTGAAACAGACTCCTTCCGCATTCAGGAAATCGCTTACGAGAGCCTATTCAAATACATTATAATTCGTCCAGCATCAATCGCATCCGGGAGGTGCGTGCGACTGATGCGAGCGTGCTCCCATGTATTTGAATAGGCTCTCGCATGCCATTTCTTCCTGACAGCGGAAAGTCTGTTTCAGGCTGTACGTACAGTATACAAATCAGCCTGTCAGCCTGTCAATCTTTATCAGCCTGTCAAAAATGTCTCCCAGAATATGGCCCTACCCCCAACCCAGGTCACTGACCTGAATGTGACACTCCACGCCATCCAGAGTCTCCAGCACGCCCAGACACGTCACACATATGACGTCACTGTGTACAGTCTCGGCCGGCAGTGTACAGCCCAGAAGACTCTCCAGTTTCATACACAGCGGCGTTTTTGAGGCTGCGAGAATGTTGGCCTCGCCGAATAGTTCGACGAGATTGGCGGAGCTTGATGTGTCGCAGATAAAGCAGACTGCCTCGTTTGGTCTGAAATGAGAGAAACTGGTGATAAGGAGGACGTCTTGGATGAAAAGAGCTCTCTTTGATTTGCGATATGATAAAATAGGGTAAATCGAGGCATTTGGAAGGCAAAAAGAGACATTCAGCCCAGACAATAAATGTAATTTGCTATGCCTGATACTGAGACTTCTGCATCACAGGCGCGGATACAAGGGGGGGCCATGGGGGCCATGGCCCCCCCCCCCTTGGCCGATTTTTTTCAAAAATAAAATAAAAAGTTAAAAAGTTAAAAAGCTGAAAAGGGGGCCTCCTGAAAATAAAGTGGCCGAAATCCGATGAGTTTTTTTTTTAACCTACCCACTTAGTTATTTCTTAGAAGACTAGCTGAGAAGAGTTCTTTGTTAGAAGATTGGTAAAGCTTTTCATAACTTGGAGGTCTCTTATACTCACAGAGATGACCACTTTTACAGGGCCTCCTAACCTGCACAGAGGGCCTCCAAGCCTGCACAGATGTTGAGATGTTGCCTGAACAGCTAGATAAGCTCAATAGACGCAGTTTTTTGGGGGGGGGGGCCAACAAGTGGGAAGATGGGGCCTCCAACAGGTGGGATTATGGGGGGGGGGGCCTCCTGGTTTCTAATGGCCCCTCCCTTGGAGATTTTCTGGATCCGCCCCTGCTGCATCATACCACCATTGTATCATGAATTGCAACAGTACCATGCATATGATACGATGAAATCGTGTCATACCACAGGCACAAACAAATGTATATTTTACTACCCACCTGTTGATGACCTCGACTAGACTACTGTGGCTGGCGAAGCAGGGCTTCGGCTGCTGTGGCTCCTCCTGCTGATGCTGCTCCTTCCCCTGCTTCTCCTGTTGGTGATTATCATGCTGATGCTCGTGCTGTACATCCAGCGGCTCCTCTGCCGTCTCGTACTGCTGTAGCTGCAGTTCGGTGACGGCGTGCGCCAGCTCCGCGTTGGACGGCATCTCGTGGCCGGGCTGGTAGACAGTAGTTGCACGCGCCGCCGCTAGGTGGCAGATCAGTGTGTCAAATCGACGTGCGAGATAGATTGTTGCACAAAAGCAATTTGAGGTTTCACAGCTTCAGAGCCAGCAAAGCACAAACAACAAAACATTAAATATGGTCTGAAAGACGATTGCGAGTTATTGGGAAGACGAATAATGCCGCAGGATTCGCAAAATGTATTCGAGTTCCTCGATTGAACTCCACCGGCCACTCTTTCCCGCCTTCACTCGCCATCATCAGTACGCACCTATCCGTGCTTCTATCCTCAGGATACTGAAATCCTTCTCCTCCACACCGCAACCCCCCTCCGGGCTGGACAGGCAACTTTATCTCATGCGGGCTGCTCCCTTGGAGCGGTACCGCTGCTCCCGAGGGAGCGCACCCCGTAGCCGGGTGCAGTGAGTGCCTTGGGGCTGGGTGGCCTGTCCTCTGGACGGGCTCAGCCCCGGCGACTCACTAGGGTGCCTGCCCAGACCAAAGTCTCCCCCTAATTCCTATCATCCTTCCGGCTCTCCAATGGTCTTGTCGACCGAAAGGGCCTAACCCAACAAAACAAACAAACAAACAATCATAAGTACGGGAACCTGGGGGGGGGGGGGCAGTGGGGCAGCTTGTCCCCCCCTCCCCAACTCTGGGGCCGTGGAGGTCGGTGCCCACACAACTTTGAGACGGAATACCGCACTTTTTTTGCAAACGTTTTCTTGTTTTGTTGAAAAAGTCAAGGGATGAAAAATGGGGCCTAAAACCGGCAAGAAAACTAGATTTGGGGGTACCCTTGGTTGATCTCTATTATGGTGCCCTCCATTCTGAAAGTAGTTCCCTCGCCTCTACTTGTCATAAGTCATAACTCATAACCACATTAACCAGTGCGACAGGCCTAGCCAAACGAAACCACAAAACACTACCAGCACCCACCTGGACATGCGACCATCCCCTCTATCCAGATATCTGACGTAAGAACCCACACGTGTTGCCTGTATTCCACAATTAACCAAGACTGACCCAAAAACCTGTCAAGTGTCAACACCAGAGCGCAGCATTCGGTTGCCATTTTGTATCAGCAGGGTGCCAGCCTTGTCATTTCTGGCCTCTTGGCTTCTCATTAGTTGCATTCACGTGGTCTGAGTGGTTCACCAATGAGAGGCCAAGATACTTAACACACCAGCCATGAATGTTGAACTTCATCATTCACTTATCTAGTCATAACAGCAAAGAACTTCCTTATATGGGAGAGCAGACAGCATGCTGATAAAAAACGGCAACCAACCAAACACTCGGGATTCGAACCCCCGACCGTCCGCTCACAGACACCCACCTGCCACGGTCTCGGAGTGTGCAGCGAACCCGTCGAACGCATCAACAGAGACCAGTGCCTCGTTTTTCAGCGACTCGAGTAGACCGCCGGGGTCGGTCATTAGCTGGAGGTGGGGGGTCGGCACGGAGCCGGAGCCGTCCCCCTGGGGCTGGCCCGGAGCGGCAGACATGGTGAACACAACCTGCGGCGAGGGAAAGATGTGGTGGTGAATGACACATGCAGGGAGGGAGAGATGTGGTGGTGAATGACACATGTGGGGAGGGAAAGATGTGGTGAATGACACATGTGGGGAGGGAAAGATGTGGTGAATGACACATTTGGGGAGGGAAAGATGTGGTGAATGACACATTTGGGGAGGGAAAGATGTAGTGAACACAACCTGCGGGGTGGGAAAGATGCTGTGGTAAATAACACCAGCTGTGAGGAGAGAAGAACTGGTAAACACCGCCTGGGAGAATGGGAAAGATGTGGTGGTAAATAACACCAGCTGTGGGAGAGAAGAACTGGTAAACACCGCCTGGGAGGATGGGAAAGATGTGGTGGTAAATAACACCAGCTGTGAGGAGAGAGGAACTGGTAAGTACCACCTGCGGGGAGGGAAAGATGTGGTGAATGACACAGGTGGGGAGGGGAGATGTGGTAAATACCACCTGTGAGGAGCAGGGTAAATATAGTGTGTAGAGAGGGAGGCATGGTAAATGTCTCATGTAGGGAGTAATATGGTAAAAACCACCCACGGGGAGGGAACATATGGTAATTCTCTCCTGTGGGGAAAGGAAAGCATGGTAAATATCTCCTGTGGGGATGGGATGATAAAAAAACTGTGAAATACAGTAAATATCTCCTGTGGGGATGGGATGATGGCAAAAACCACATTTAAAATATGGTAAACATTTCCTGTGAGGAAGGAATGGCATGGTGAAAACCTGCACATGTGGGGAAGGGAGAGACATGGTTATTACCTATTTCTTGTGGGGAAGATGAGAGTTAATATCCGTCTGTGGGTGACCCATGGTAGATATGAATGTGAAAGAAAAATGCCCTGTGGAGGAGCATGATGATTCACCTGTGTGAGATGACTTGGTAAATATGGTCTGTGAGGAGCAAGGGGCATGGTAAACAGTAAATTGATATGGGAGTCCTCCAGAAATCCCTTTCCCTGTCAAGCATTTTAACTAGTCTGTTCAATTTCAACTTCGCAGCCAAAGTGTCCCAATGAAAATTGCAAGTGATTTGTGCACATACAACTCTTATGTTTAGACGTTATAGACACAAATGTGGACCTTATAATAGAACTGACAAATGAGCCTTAACCAAAAGTTTGCTATGGAACATATCATAATCCCGCTCCTAGGTTTACCCACCTGTCTGCCGTCCGAAGAGGTGGCATAGGACAGAGGCACCGCCAGCAGCTCGGCGCCTCCCGCAGCACTGAACGGGAACTCGTTGGGCGTATGGTCAGCCTCCATAGTCACACAACTGCAGCTCGTCGACACAATGAGGGTCAACAGGACCTGACCAGGGCAGATGGTCACTCTATTATGGCAGCAAAACCAATTATATTGTGAAATGTGATATTACCAGCTCTCAAATTAGGATTCCTCCCTTCGGCTTCCTTTACCGAAGGTTACCTACTCAGCAACAGTCCTGTGAAGAAGATAAGACAGTTCAGTCAGGTTAGTTGGGTCAGCACAGCAACACCACTTACCAATAGGTGTAAGCAAGGCCCTTAGGTGTAAGCAAAGGTGCAAGCCAACAGCCATACACAAAAGAATAACGCATGAACATTATTTGAAAATCAGACATATTTCAAAAAAATCCAAGCACAGGCAGGTACCTAGTGAATGTAGCACAGAAAAGGCCAATGTTCATTGTCATAGTCATTCACTTATGGAAAAAGTCCATCAAATAGGTCATAACAATCAAACTTTAGGTCTGCGGGTATTTATTTACTTTAGGACCGGCAGCCTTTACTTTCGTTGCGAACCTCAAGTGATAGTCAAAAGCATATCACATGACATAATTTGACCTCCTGATTTCATAGCTGATAGTTATTCAAGGCACAAACAAGTTTAAATGCACCAATACAATATTTACCGCCACCGCCGTACCCCCACCGACTGTGTACGCGCCACCCGCCACGCTCTGCACTCCAAGGTTGAGTGAATACGTATTAACAATTCTATTCAACTGTGAGGAAAGTGACGTCATGAAATTTATCGTTGCGAAGCAGGAAGCAGCGCAGTGCCGTAGGACTAGGCAATGCCTGAGGAGAGATTACAGGCAATGGTAGGTCGGTAGGTAAAAATCAGTAGGTCAGGATAGGTAAGGTTTGGTTATGTTCTTTTTATTTCCGTCGTATTGTTTTGCTCCCCAACCCAAAAACCCCGGTTCCCACCCAACATTTCCCCTTTTTTGTTTGGTATTATGACGTCATTTTCATCAAATTGGACATGCACACATTTTTCTTTTTTGCAAATGGCAGCGGCGCAACCACGTTGTTTATTTCACAATCGCCACATTTGTATAATTCCCTCGGAGTGCATTACGTGACGCGGGGTGAGATGGGTGGGTTTTATCAAGTTATTGTGTGACTTTTTGTAGTTTTGGTGACATGTAAGTATCATATCTTGATTTAGGATGTCAAATAGTGGAAGAATGTTGTGGTACCAAAAGTTATAGTATAAATACAATGGTTTTATTCAACTAAATTGGACTGATAGGTATGAGTGTGTACCTGAGGACGAGACAGATACAACGAATATTAGTGAGAGCACCCCATTCGACAGTAATGGACGGTTCATCACATTTTCTTCCGCTGTGAAAAGACATGAGCAGGCAGAAATCGAGTAGCCAAGGCGCACTTCTGACTTCAATGAGCGCCTCAGTGCATACTACATGCTCTCATATCTCAAGGCGCACCACTGGCTTTCTTGCCCGGTTAGACCGACGCACTTCGGTCGCCGGTTCTGACTTGCTCGATGGCGGCGCGCTTGAGGGCCCCTGGCCCGCTTCTGACTCGTGCGATGGCGGCGCACTTGGGGGCACCGGGTGACGCGGCACGCGAAGTGGCAATCTCGGGGACTGCACGGCCGAAGGCGGCGTGCCCGAGGGCTCCGAACGGATGCCGAGGGACATCGGCTCGTCCGCTTCCTTTCCCTTCTCGTTTCCTTGTTGCTGTGCACAGCCGCCGGGGGCGAGATCTCGCACAGAGACCGTGTCGACCTTGCCGCCGGGATAGCGCACGAAAGCGTAGTGCGGGTTCGCCTCCAGGATTTCGACTGGCTCGACTGGCAGGTCGAGCTTTCCGCGGACGTATTTCTTCAAGAGAAGCTGCCCGGGGTTGAGGAGCCAGGACGGTAGCAAAGTCCCCGTCGCAGACCGCCGTTGGAAAGAGAACATCCTTTCGTGTGGGGTGGCATTTGTTGCTGTGCACAACAGAGACCGGATAGAATGCAAGACGTCAGGCAGGACGGCGTCCCATTGTCCTCTGCTCAACTTCCTGCTCTCCATAGCGAGTTGACCGGCACGCCAGATGGTGCCGTTAAGCCGCTCACACTGTGAGTTGCCTTCGGGGTGGTACGGTGTCGTGCGACTCGTGGCGATCCCCAGTCCTGTCAGGAAGCATCGAAGCTCAGCTGATATGAAAGCTGAACCGCGGTCAGAGTGCACGTATGCCGGCATCCCAAAGATGGAGAAGAGAGTACTCTCAGGCGCCGCTGGGAGCCCTCAGAGTCACCGGTGTGGGGCCCTCAGAGTTGCAGGTAGGTGACCGTCAGGTGTGCTTGCGGGAAGGGACCCAAAGAGGCGCCAGTTTGGGGCCCTCAGAGCCGCCGCCGATCTAGGCCTTAAAAGAATTGGTATTAGGCTCTCAGGTTGGCGGTGCTGAACCCCCAGAAGCGCCGGTGTGAGGCCCTCAGAGGCGCCGTAATGGGTTTTCAGAGACACTGTGTGGAGCCGTCCCATGCGGGTATGGACCCTTCCTGATGGAAGCCCAAGTTTAGACTCAACGTTGCTAAGGCTGGCGGCAAACATCCTCGCCGACATAAATGTCTGATTCACAAGTCACCTGTGAATGTTGCCGAGATTAATAATCACACTCGCAGACATTGATGCCCTTCTCGTTCACAGGCCTCGGCGGTAACAGCACACTACCAATCAGTCGCGAGCCACAGCAAGAAAACGTCATGTCGGGCCCTTTGAAATGCCACAGAGCTCGCCGAAGAAAGGCTGCGAACGGCAGTGACAATCCTACTGCGGATGTTCAGAACTCTTCTCTCCTTGCTAGTGATAGCAAAACAGGCTATGGATGCGACGTCTGTGGCAAGATGTTTACACTGGAAACCAATCTAAAACGCCATTACCATATCCACATATGGGAGAAGTCCTACGCTTGTGAAGAATGTGGCCAGCTCTTTGAGGAGGAATGCTTTCTGAAACGTCACCAACTGGTTCACACTAAACAGAAGCCGCACACGTGTGATCATTGCGGTGAGAACTTCTCGCGGGCAGCGTGTCTCGCGAAGCACCTCCGGAGTCATACTGATCTGAAGCCCGAACCGTGTGACTTCTGCGGCGTGTCATTTTCGACTCTGGCTGAGCGCAACGAGCACCGCCGACTTCGCGTCGGCAGAAAGTCGTTCAAGTGCGACGTGTGTGGCATCGTGTTCCTTCGTAAGGACAGGCTTGCTTGCCACCTCTGCACACACACCGGGGAACGTCCGTTCGCGTGTGACGTCTGCGGGAAGGCGTTTGCAGATAGCAGCGCGTTTCGTCGACATCGCTATCTGCACGCTGGCGTAAACCTGCACAAGTGCGACGTCTGCGATAAAGCGTTTACGAAGCGCAGGGCACTACGTATTCATTGTCGCCTACATACAGGCGAAAAGCCGCACAAGTGTGACGCCTGCGGCAAGGCGTTTGCAGACAAGAGCGCGCTTACGTTCCACCTGCGCACACACACTGGGGAGAAGCCTTGCAAGTGCGACGATTGTGGCATTCCGTTCTCAAGAAGGGGTCATCTGACACGCCATCGGCGAAGAGTACACGGTGAGAACAACCCATACAAGTGTGGACAATGTGGGATAGTGTTCTCCAGGCAGTCTCAGCTGACTCGTCATCACTGCAACGAGAGTGAAACGGGAGCTCGCTGCGCGAAATGCGGGGAGGTATTTACCAATATTAAAGATCATCAGTGTGCGGGTAAGTCGCTGACACCCGTTTCCCTCAAGTGTGGCGACTGTGGAAGGGTGTTCAGATGCAGACGGGACATTGCTCACCACCAGCGCACGCGCAGGAAGGAGAAGCGGTTCCGATGTGACGTCTGTGGCATGTCCTTTGGCAGAGCGAAACTTCTGCTACGGCACTCTGCTACCGCCCACGGTACTCAGAGCTAGGTGAACACGAGGCATCAATGCCTCGGTGTTTCGCCAAAACAATGTGTTAGCAACAAACTGGTCGTTCAAATTGAGCGTTAGACGTTCCGCCGCAATAAACAAAGACTTATGCCTCACTCACTGAATTGATTGTCAGATGAGTACGCCCAATGACATCCTCCTACTCAGTACTCACTTGAAGTGAACGTTCAACGGCCCTGTCGGACGGGCTAAAGTGAACATGGCAGACGAACCAGGGTGAAGATGTCAAACGGACCAAAGTGAAGACGTCAGACGGACCAAAGTGAAGATGTTAGACGGACCAAAGTGGTGATGTCAGACGGACCAAAGTGGTGATGTCAGACGGACCAAAGTGAAGATGTTAGACGGACCAAAGTGGTGATGTCAGACAGGCCAAAGTGAAGATGCACCAACACGCATTCTTCCGGCCCGACAAAATTAAATAAGGAGCCATGAAGTATGACCCGAGCCTTACGAGTCAAAGCAGATGATCGAATGTTGCGCGATCGTCATAGTTGGTGATATGTTCCGAGGTAGGTGACGGAAATGTTTAGTGGAGTGGTGGGTATATTACCTCTTTTGCCGTTACGGAGGTCTTTTGACATTTTTTGAAAGGTTGTGACAAATGCATCCGTCCAGTTTCTATAAGATATGTATTTTGCATTGCAAGATATTTGTGACGTTTTTAACAGAAAGATAAATGCGTCATCAGCCAGCAGCTTTAATGTTTATTGATAATAAGGTGCTGTCAATGGAAACACGACTCGGGGATAATCTCAGGTGTCGCCTTATATTTATAATCGCCTTTGTTAAGTGTGCATTTAAATCCGACATCGGTGTATTTTTGTAATCGCCTGGTTACCTATTGTCCATAGCTTGTCGGAAGCAGTTTTTAACTGATGACTTTGGATCAAATTAAGTTAATAATTTATGCCGTCCCATTTCATTCACACTACACACATGTTACTTTCATGTTTTTAGAAGTAAAATCTTATTAATGTGATGGTCAGTTTTATGTGTTGTATGAGAAAGGCGTCATTGAACCGCTCTAGGGACCGATACGAATTTGTACGTGGTGGCTGGTGGTCCACGTCGATCTCTTCTCTGCGATACCGAACTGCTCAATACCTGACATAGCTTAGATCATATAAATATGTCTGTTATTTGTGTGTCATTGGGACTTAAATAAACACTGGTGACGGTCATCCCCGTATATTAACCCGCGCCCTGCTGGGGGGGTGTTTGAACACCCCCCTTGTGGTTTTTTGCGAATATCTCAAAAACGGCGGCGCGGAGCGCCGCCGTTTTTGGTACACCTTATCATACATCAATTCTACACATGTTGTGAAAATTTCAGACCAAGGTCATTCAAGGTCAGGTCACCAGGTCACTTGAAGTGACCTCACCTCATAAAAAGTTTCAATGTCTGCCATAGCTACACCGAGTGACCGATCGCTTTGAAACTTTCAGCGATTAATAAGGGTAACAGTATCTATCAAATGTATATCTTGGAATTTTGATATCGGTGACCTAAGGTCAGGTCAATTTTGCGACCTCCTCATTATAAGTCAATGGGAGAAAATTGAAATGCGCCTCTTTTGGACGAAAGACATTATAAACACTCCCAAACACTGAATTACAAGTGGTTTAGACACACTGAACATGAAAATGGTGTCCGTGACCCCTGTTTATGCCCTGAGGTCATCTTAGGTCACGAATGGTATCCAACGGTTTTTCGCAAATAACTTTTGATAGAGGCATGCTAGAG